GCCAGGGACAAACTGCAACCGAGGTACGTGCCCTTAGCGGGAACCGAACCCAAGTCTCTCTGGACCACAGGCCTACACTCTAACCGCTGAGCCAAACCGGCCAGGGCTCTTGCTGCTTTTAAGATTCTCTTTGTCTTGAACCTTTGGCATTTTGATGATGATGTGTATTGATGTGGGCCTCTTGGGGTTCATCCTGTTTGGGACTCTCTGTGCTTCCTGGACTTATATGTCTGTTTCCTTCACCAAGGTAGGGAAGTTTTGTGTCAATATTTTTTCAAATAGTTTTCAATTTCTTGCTCTCTCTCTTCTCTTTCTGGAATCCCCATGATGTGGATGTTGGTACGCTTGAAGTTGTCCCAGAGGCTCTTTATACTGTCCTCATTTTTTTGGATTCTTTTTTCTTATCTGATTGGGTGGTTTTTTTTGCTTTCTTATATTCCAATTTGATGGTTTGTTTCTTGGCTTCACCTACTCTACTCTTGATTCCCTGTAAATTATTCATTTCAGCTAGTGCATCAGTTCCTTGGAGGCCTCCTTAAGTTCTTTGATGGTCTCACTAAGTCCCTTGGATGTCTCACCAAGTTCCTTGAGCAACCTTATAACCTGTGTTTTGAACTCTGCATCTGTTAGATTGCTTATCTCCATTTTGTTTAGTTATTTTTCTGGAGTTTTGTTCTTTTCTTTCATTTGGGACATGTTTCTTTGTTTCCTCATTTTGGCTGCCTCCCGTGATTATTTCTATGTATTAGGTAAGAGTTGCTATGTCTCCTACGCTTCATAGGGTGGCCTATTATTGTAGGTGTCCCGTAGGATCCAGTGGCACAGTCTCCCTGATCACCCCAGCTGGGCCCTCGAGGTATACCCCTAGTATGGACTGTACACCCTTCTGTTGTAATTGAGTCTTGATTGCTGTTGGCATGTCAATGAGAGGGGTTTACTCAGGCTGATCAGCTGCAAGGACTGGCTGTGCCCACTGACCACTGGCCTCTGACTCTCTTGGAGGATCAGCTGTGCAGGGGCCCACCACACAGAGCAAGACTTACTTCATCAGGGCTCTGGTACCCACTGAGTCCACTCATTGAGTGTGTCACTTGTGGAGGTGGTTGGGTGGTGGTGTTTCAATGTGGTCTGAAGCTGTCCACCGGGTGTGTTGGCTCTGGGGCAAGGTCAGCCACTGCCTGTGTTCTACCCGGGGCCACCTGGCATAAGTTACAAAGTGATCTGCAGATGGCTGCTTCTTGTGCTGGGCTTGGAGGTTCCCAAAAAAAGTCAAGTTGTGAACCAAGGCTGGCTGCTTCTAGTGCTAGGCCTGGGGCCACCTAACGAGGAAAATGGGGCGCGTTGAGACCAGATGCTGCTGCTTTGAGAGATTTTAGGAAACTCTGAATCAGGATCCAAGACAGGCCAATTCTATAGTTAAGCAACTGGCAACAGCTTGGGTGGTCCTGAATGTTGGGTGGGGCGGGGCCTCAGCGAGTCACCAGGGCAGGCCTACCAGTGTGAGCCAGGTTGCTGGAGTCCCAGATATGGTGGCTATCGGCCGCCCCAGGGAAGGGCTCACCAAAGGAACAAAGGCCTCTGACAGCACGTTTGTCCAGGAGAAAGCCCCCTCTCAGCCCTCGCTCCAGTGCCAAACAGCTCAGTTCCTTCCTGTACGTCTCTGGCGCCCCTCGAGCTGCCTCCCCTCCAAGCTTAGAGGGAGAGAGTCTGATAAGTCCGTGTGCGGGCCCTTTAGGGAGCTGCCTGGGGCTCCAGCCGCCTCAACCTCCCTGAGCCTCAGTTCCTGCTGGTTTTACAGCCAGAAGTGATGGTGATTCTCTTCCTGGCACTGGAACCCTGAGCAGAGCACCTGGTGTGGGACAGGGACCCCTCACTCCTCACGGAGGACCTTCCCAGCCGAGGTGTCCTCCTGATTTTTATCTGCCACACGTGGGTGTGAGACCAGCCCGTCGGCCTCCGCCCTCCTACCAGTCTCCATGTGGCTGCTTTAATTCTACTTGCAGGATGTCCATTCAGCTAGATTTCAGGCGGTTCTGAATGATGCTTGTGTTGTAGTTTACTTGCAATTTTTTTTTTTTTTTTGGTATGTGCTCCTAGCAGGAACCGAACCCAGGACTCCCTGGTCGGCAGGTCGATGCTCCAACCGCTGAGCCAAACCAGCCAGGACTTTACTTGTAATTTTGATGTGGTTGTGGGAGGAGGCGATTACCTACCTGTCATCTTGACCAGAAGTTGGGTTGTTTATTTTAGAGTCTATATATTAATGATATCATGTGGTATTTGTCTTTCCCTATTTGCCTTATATCATTTAGCATAATGCTCTCAAGATTCATCCATGTTGTCACAAATGGCAAGATTTCCTTCTTTTTATGGCTGAATAATATTCCATTGTGTGCGTGTGTGTGAGTGTGTGTGTGTATGTTTTTTTTCCACATTTTCTTTATCCACTCATCTATTGATAGACACCTTGGTTGCTGCCATACCTTGGCTATTGTAAACAATGCTGCAATGAACATATAAAGGGTGCATGTATCTTTTCAAATTGGTTTTTGTTTACTTTGGATAAATACCCAGAAGTGGAATTGCTGGGATGTATGTAGAGCACGGGCTTTAAATATTGTGCTACCTGGGTTTACACTTGCCACTCATTAACATTGTGGCTTTGGGCTAAAAGCCACACCTTTAGGAGCTAACGTGATCGGTTGTTCGAACTGTTGACTTTGTTAGGAGTGATGCTGGCATTGCGGCTGTGTGAGGCAACGTCTTTTCTTCTTCGACATGTAAACCGAGGCATCTGGAGAGCAGGAAATGCTGCGACGTTCGGGACTTGCTTTAAGGTATGTGCCAGCCGAAAAGTGTCATGGCAGGAGGACCGATGTCATAGGTACAGCAAAACACTGGTGGTGGTTGAAGCAGGGTGATGAGTTCATGGAGGGAGTAATCCTTGTGCTCTCCAGACTTTTATTTAGGTCGGAAAATTTTCATAATAGTGAATAAACAAACAACAAACAACGGGCTTTTGTTTCCCTTTTACAAACAAACATGACACAGACATTGGACGCACGTTTCATATTGCGCCTCTGCCAGTTTATTTCAATTCTCTGGGTAGGTTCCAGCTCTCATCCATCATCTTCTCTAGACTCTGGCGGGGAATTTTCTCTTCCACGAGGCCCACCAGGCCCAGTGCTAGGGAGTATATTGTTTCCGATTCTATACCCACATTCTTAAAGTGCCCAGTTTCCTCCTTGAAGTAACTTGAATACACGTCTCATTTTGAGGTAGGGTACCTTTGTCTCACTCCTTTTGGGGACCGAGGAGTTACTGTTTATTCCAAGGGGAAGGCAGCACGGGGAGGTCCTGGCCCGTGTGACTCAGTTGAGTGTTGTCCGGAGCACTGAAAGGTCACTAGTTTGATTCCCCGTCAGGGCACATGCCCAGGTTGCGGCTTCTGTCCCAGGTCCGGGTGCATATGGGAGGCAACTGATCGATGTTTGTCTCTGTGAAATCAATAAAAGCATTTTTAAAAAAATTTATTTATTTATTTTTTTGTTACAGATGTTTCTCCTTTTTTACCCCATTGGCACCCCCCTCCCCACCCCGCCCGGGCCCGGCTTTGTTGTCCATGTCTATTGATTATGTATACATGCATATAAGTTCTGTGGTTTATCTCTTCCCACCCCCCCACCCCCTCTTCTTTTGGAATCCAATAAAAACGTTTTTTAAAAAAGCAGCATTGGGCCCTGATTGGTTTGGCTCAGGGGTCAGAGTGTCGGCCTGCGGTCCAGAGAGACCTGGGTTCGGTTCCCGCTTGTCCCCGGCCCTGGTTGGGTCGTGCGGGAGACGGCCACTTGATGTGTCCCTTTCACGTCGATGTTTCTCTCTCTCTCTCTTCCTCCCTCTCCCTCCCACTCTATCTGAACAAAAAATGGAAGAATGTTCTCGGGTGAGGATAAAAAAATAAAAAATAGAAAAGCAGCATTGGGAAGAACAGCCTGACCCCATCCAGAGCAGCAAGGCTGCAAGAAGGAAAAGACATGCAGGGCGAAGAGAGTGAAGTGAGGTTTGCGGTTTGAGTTGTCAGAGTCTCAAGGAGAAAAAAGAGAAATAAATGATCACCATTTATCATGGTATTTACAGCTGGAGAAAGGAACTATGGGAGAAAGGCAAGGGAAGGGAAAAATAAAGAAAATCTGGGAATAAAATTGGGATGAGTCAGGGGAGGAGAAGGAGGGAGAAAGTGAGAAATCGTTGGGAGTGATTGCAATACTGGCCACAAACACAAAAATGTGTCCATCTGGTTTTGATGAAAAACATATATATGCGCACGTATTTGTCTGCTGTGCTTTGACTAAGCAGCTAGTGAGGCGCTCCTCTGAGAACCTGGAAGACTCAACACTGTGCTCAGAAGCTGCTCACCCTGGAACTGAGCCCAAAGTTGAGCAAGAAGCTGCCCAGCTGACCACCTTTTGTTCCCTACAGCTCCCTGGAACTGAGCCCATGGGAGGAGGTGCTACGCTCGCCTGTGGGTGCCCAAGCTAAGGGCGGAGGACTGACTCTGCCACAGAGGCCTCAGCGCCCAGGGGGCAGCAGGGTGGCAGCGCACAGGGCCAGACAAGAGGAATGAGCTGGTGATGTGCCCCACCCTGGAAGGCCGGCCTCGGAACCAAAGGGCCAACACTCAGCCATGGCTATTCTTTCGGCGGAGAAATCTCGGGAGAAGACCGTGGAAGAGTACTGCAGGCAGATTTTTCCCAGTGGAAACGGTGGGGTGGGGAGGAAGCCCCGCGGGCCCGTGGGCAGGTCCCCTCCAGAGCTCAGCCAGGCCTCCCTGGGCGCTGGGCAGCCCTGCTGGAGCGTGCGGAGCTGCAGTGCCGCTCTCCGCCGCACGGGGGCAGCACCGCCTGCCGGCGCGACGACGGCGGTCCTCGCTCCCTCTTGGCGGCGCAGGCGGAGGCCGGCCCGCGGCGCCCTCGCTCATTGGCCGCGGCGCGGGCGCTGCCATGTTGGCGGAAGCGGCGCCTCCCGTGCTGTGGAAATTGGTCGTGGCTGCAGCCGCCGCGTCGGTGGATGCAGCCTCCTGCTTCTTCACCTCGCTGGTGTCTCGGCTCTGAGAGGCGGCGGCCGGCGGGATGGAGAAAAGTAGGATGAACCTGCCCAAGGGGCCGGACACGCTCTGCTTCGACAAGGACGAGTTCATGAAGGTGCGCGCCGGGCTCCGCTCCGGGAGCCGGGCCGTGGGGAGCCGGCCCCCCTCTGCCTCCTCTCCCCGGGTCTCTCCTCGGGCTTCTGCCCGCGTCGCCTCGGCGGGGGCCTCGCTGCTCTTCGCCGCGAGTGTCTCGGCCTCAGGGGTGGTAGGTGCCGCCTGGAGGAAGCACTTCTGGGGAATCGTGCTCGTGGAGTTGAAAGGCCCGAAAGTTTTGGTCTCAGTGTAAAAGCCCCTGCAGTTCCCGACCCTGGTACCGTGCAGTGCAGCCAGGGGGTCGGCCCTTGCCGGGCAAGGCGTGGGGGCCCGTGTCTTGCACCCGAAGCTCAGGAGTTACGTCCCGAGCAAGTCTCTGAACCCACGTAGCCTCCAGGATCGATCGGGTCAGAAGAAAAGGCACTTAAGTCCCAAGTTTTTGCCTAACGTTCATATTAAGCCTCTGGAATGAGACAGTTAAGAGAGTGGAAAATGCTCACTGGTTTTGCTGCAGTACAACAAAACAATCCACTCTCTTTTCCCAAAGTGGCCCCACTTCTCTTGATAAGGTGAACCTGAAGTGGGTGTGTAGGCAGTTATAAGACAGACTTACAGAGCAGACACAAACTGGGAACATTTTACTGATAATAAAGATCCATCAGGTACGGCCTTGAAAATGTCCAAGAGCTGGGAGGAACTTGGTCTAGCTACTTGGTGTGCCCCTGTGGGTCTGCGCTTAAACCATCAAAAAGTATATGTATGTTTAATTTCTAAGGATTGGGATTTTTGATACCTCTTAGTAGGTGATTTCAGTGTTAAAAAGTTAAAAATTTTGGCTCAGTCTACACCTAAATTTTGAACAAGTGAGTTTAAATAGCTCGTTCTGTGTTTTTTGATGAGTTCCAGTCATAATATGTTTTATTCTTTTTCTAGGTTAATTAGCCTCTCTCTTTCTGATGTTTACTTTCTGATCACATGTCCAAAACTCTGGTTTTTACAAAGTGTTTACACCTGGATTTTCTCCAGTGTGGCCATATCCGTTTTAATATGTGGGGCTGTCTAGGCTCAGGAATAGTGTACTAGCGTCCTTGTGCAGTGATGTGCCTGCCAAACCACTATAATAAAAGGTGTAGCTGAAATGGGATGTCTAAAAGTGCAGGGTGAACTCACTGATCCAGAAATCCTTTGTTCCACCCCTGGCTAGGAGCTACCTGGAAGCCAGGGTAGAGAGAAAACTAGGATACATGATGGGGAGACCTGCGCTGGAAGAAGAAAAGGCACCCACAGAGATCAGGGCCCTCGTTTTGACTTCGAGAATCTTTTTTTTTTTTTTATCTTCACCCGAGGACATTTTTGCATTTATCTTCAGATAGAGCAGGAGGGAGAGAGGGAGGAAGAGACAGAAACATCGATGTGAGAGAGACACATCCAGTAGTTGCCACCCTCACGACCCCAACCGGGGCCGGGGACAAACTGCACCCGAGGTACATGCCCTTAGCGGGAACCGAACCCGGCCCTCTGGTCTGCAGGCCGACGCTCTAACAGCTGAGCCAAACCGGCCAGGGCGACTTAGAGGGTTTTTGAGTTCAGAAAATGCTCAGCTTGTCCATCTCTACTTCTTCAGGCTTCCTTCGGGCCCAACACCAGTATCCTTTCTGACACACTCACTTTTCTTACTTGAAGCTGACAGAATGTCTTTGGTAAAAGCAGATTCAGAAAATAGAAATCTCAGAACATAAATTCTAAAATAGAACTTAACCTAGAGGTAGGGAGAGGAAAAACTGGGGAAGTGGCTGGAGTGCCAGCAATTTCATATTTTCCGTGGCTCTTAAACCTCTGAATGTGCTTTACAGTTTGTAATGCCAACAAATGTGCCCACTCCCTATGTGGAAGATAAATAAGTAGAACGGATGGTCTGTGTAAAATGTTACTGACTTTCTAGGTGGGGCCTGGAGATAAAGGTTAATTGCAATTTGTGCTTCCTTCAAAGAGATGTTTCATAAGTTATAGTTCCATGGCAGAAAGGATGGGTGGAGAGCTTGTGGTTGGGGTTATATTTCAACATTTGTGTCTCATTCAACACATTTTGTGACTGGATAGATTTTATGCCTGTAGGAAAGTTAGGGAATATGAGATTTGCATTAGGAAAGTCAAGATAACTTGAAATCCAGTCATTTGATTGGAAACTGTCATTAGTCTGCTAGACATGATGAGGATTTGGTAGGGCAATGGTAGCAATTGCTCATTTAATAAACAGGCATTCATCAGTCACCTGCTTTGTGCCAGCCAGCAATCTAGACATGATGGTCCAAGGACAGATAACATATGGTTTTGGCTCTTGAGCATGGTGATAGGAAAAATGTGTGTGCTGAGAAATTGCACTTAGAACAGAGTGGTTGGAGTATGGAAGAATGGCCAGGAATGAGACTGGAAAGGTGGAGGGGGTGAGGTTGCCATTGTACTGGGCCTTGTTACTACAGTAAGTGCTTGATGCAGTATTTATTGTGAAGGCATAGTCAGGTTTAAAGCAGGAAATTACTGGTCATAATCTGTTGCATTGGAGCTGACTGGTGGCAGGAGGCTGCTTAAAAAGTCATTTCAGTGGTCCTTATATCTAAAGAGAAATACAGAGGAGAGGGACAAGTTTGTGAAAGATGCAGGCAATCAGAGGGCAGGAGTGGCAGATACAAGAATTACTTGGGGCAGAAGTGGTGGTGACATCACATTGTTAGCTTTGTCAGCTTTAAGAAAGTACAAAAATTCTTAGAGCGTTGACAGCAAACTAATAGAAGACATGGGACATAAGATATCGATAGTAGGAGGGAGAAAATAACATGTTAGGATAAACTAGACCCATTTATCTAGATGAGCTGTTGAAAGCATAGCCTCCCCCTTCTATCTCAGTGTATGACTTCATCTCCTGTTTTACAGAAAAAATAGAGGCCATCTAATGGGAATTCTTTCATCTTGCTGATAACAATGTCATTCTTGTATTTGTACTAATTCTCATTCTTTTTTTTTTTTTTCTTTCTTTCTTTTTTTTTAAATCCTCACCCGAGGACATTTTTTCGTTTTTTGATCAGATAGAGTGGGAGGGAGAGAGAGAGAGAAACATCTACGTGAAAAGGACACATTGAGTGGTTGCCACCCGCATGACCCAACCAGGGCTGGGGACAAACTGCAACCGAGGTACATGCCCTTAGCGGGAACTGAACCCGGGTCCCTCTGAACTGCAGGCCGACGCTCTAACCGCTGAGCCAAACCGGCCAGGGCCCAATTCTCATTCTTCTTCTCATCTAGTGTGTGTGGGGCTTTCCTTCCTCCACAGATTAACTTTTCCACCAAGGCTTGGAGCCCCTGCCTTCTTGCCTTCTCAGGAGCCTGTTACTATCCTTCTTCTCTGTCTCCTTCCCATTGGCTTTCCAACACACTCTTGTTTAGTTTCTTCCACTTGATCCTCCCTCCTCCCTTTACTGCCCTGTCACTCTCTTTAGTGTCACAGCCAAATGCTCAAGAGTTCTCTTTACTTTCTCACCTTTCACTCAAACTCATTCTGTTTTGTCTTCTGGCCCCATCATTCCACTCAGTAGTTCTCACCAAAGTTAACTAGATGTAAAGCAATCAGCAGGCCTTTTTCTGTCTTGTTACCTGACCTCTCGGCAGACCAGATGCTCTCTTCATTGCTTGCTGGTTTTCACCTCTCAGGTCTCTCTGTCTCTTGTGCATAATCATTCTCCTCGTTGTAGCCACTAAATGGATGGTTATGGGCCCAGTCACATGTCCTCTGCTTTCCCTAGATGATCTTTGCAGCTTCAGTGACCACCCATAGGCAAGTGTCACAGATTCATATCTTTGGCCCAAAAGTCTCTTTAGCCGCAATCCCTTATATTGAACTTCTTTTTGACATCTCTTCCAGAGTATCACTGTGTCACTCATGTTTAAAACTGAATCCATGAGCACGTCCTCCCCTCCCCCTCCCAGACTCTCTCTGGTATCCCCCATTTCAGTAACTGCTCCACTCCCCCATCCAGTTGTCAGAAAACTGGGACTTGAGTCTTCTCTCCGTCACCTTCCCCAAATCCACTCTATTGCCAATTCCTCGAATTTCATTTCCTAAATATGTTGTGAATCCATCTCCTTCTCTTCGTCTCCTTTTTTCTGCCTTCCATATTATCATTTCGTGCTATTCTACTATCATGGTTTCTTAACTTGACTCCTCGCATTTTTTTGCCCTTTTCTTGTCCGTGGTCTACATTGTAGCAGCGTGTTCTTTTCAGAATGCACATCCCATGTATGTAACAGGTCGGCTTGGTAATGAGAAGACACTTCAGGACATTTCACCCTGGCTGGTTTGGCTCAGCGGTTAGAGCGTCAGCCTGCGGTCCAGAGAGACCCAGGTTCGGTTCTCGCTAAGGGCATGTACCTCGGTTGCAGTTTGTCCCCAGCCGTGGTTGGGTCATGCGGGTGGTGACCACTCAATGTGTCCCTTTCACGTCGATGTTTCTCTCTCTCTCTCCCTCCCACTCTATCTGAACAAAAAACAAAAAAAAGTCCTCAGGTGAGGATAAAAAAAAACAAAAAAACCCCAGAACATTTGCAAGTATTTCAAAGCAGTGCATTCCATCGTTGGATGGTTTTTATTGGTGGACAGTTTGTTTCTGTGCTGAGCCAAAACCTGCCTCCATTGAACTTATATTCATTACTTCCTTTCCTGAACCTTCATCTGTTAGTGGCTTGGTTGGCCCCCTGGGTAGGCACATGGTGCCTTTAGTGAAAAGAGAAATTGGAAACCCTCCTCATGGTGACTCTAAGCATCTACAATATGTTAAAGAACTGGTGGAAGATAAACAAGTCATTGAGGCTCCTCCCTATTCTAATTGGATGAATCACAAATATTGAAACGGGAAGTGTGTCTAGGGGTGTCCCTGTACTCAAGAAATGTGTGTTGTAATGGACAAATGAAAAAGGGAAAATGACCAGCTGGTCCGCTCTGTGGTGTGCTGGTCAAACAGCAATGGCCTAGAGATGCGGGTCCCAGTTTCAGCTCTGCTGCTCTCTAGCGTGTGACTTGGGGCAAATTGCTGGGGGCTTTAGTTTTCTCATTAGTATATAACAGGGTGGCACTTGTCTAAATAATCTTTGCAATCTCTTTTGCAGCTCTTGACATTTTATGTTTCTGTGGAAAAAACACTGGTCAGTTTTTCTGGTTTGCAGATAAGAAAACTGAGGCCCAGAAGTGTCATGACTTCCCCCAGAGTCAAACAACTAGTTGGAGCAAATCATGGCCCTTATCACCTGACTCCCAGGCTTTAGTCCTGGGAAAATAATGTAACCCTTTGCGCCCTGGCCAGTTCGGCTCAGTGGTTAGAGCGTCAGCCTGCGGACCGGAGAGTCCTGGGTTGGGTTCCCATTAAGAGCATGTACCTCAGTTGCAGCCCCAGTTGGGGTCATGTGGGTGGTATCTAGTCGATGTGTCTCTCTCACATCGATGCCCCCCCCCTCCCGCTCTATCTGAAGTTAAATGCAAAAAATGTCCTCGGATGAGGATTAAAAAAATAATCATAATGTAACCCTTTGAGGGCCTTCGGTGATTTTAGGAGAAATTCTACCAAGTCTAGTGATCTGGACTCTTGGCCTGTAGATTAGGTACAGGAAGGTGGCAAGAGCGAGAAGATGGTGTATTTGAGGTAGATCCGTTGATACGAACAGCAAGAAATAGTCGCTGACAAAAGGAAAAGAGCGAAGTGGTGAATGGCAGCTCGCACAGGAAAGCAGCGCCGTTGTGTTGCTGGTGCCGGCCCGCCTGTGAGCCTTTCTTGTTTTCAGTTCCTTTGGGTAGATACAAGGAGTACAATTGCTGGGTCATATGGCAGGAGTATGTTTAGTTTTGTAAGAAACTGCCAAATTGTCTCCCAAAATTTTTGTGCCATTTTGCATCCCTACCAGCAGTGAATGAGAGTTCCTGTTGCTTTACATCCTCACCAGCATTTGGTGTGGTCAGTGTTTTGGATTTCTGTCATTCTAATATATATGTAATGGTATGTCATTTAAATGGGCTTTTCCCTAAAGACATATGATGTTGAGCTTTTTTTTCCCCCTCTTTCAGATCTTTTGCCCATTTTAAAATTAGGTTGTTTGATTTCTTATTCTTAAGAGTCCTTTGTATATTTTGGATTCAAGTCCTTGATCATGTATGTGTTTTACAGATATTTTCTCCACTGTGACTTGTCTTTTCATTCTCTTTAACAGTGTGTTTTGCAGGGTTGTTTTTAATTTTAGTGAAGTCCATGTCATCAGTTTTTTCTTTCACAGACGATACTTTTGGTGCTATATCTAAATGGTCATTGTCAAATCCAAGGGTATCTAGATTTTTTCCTATGTTATCTTCTAGAAGTTCTGCATTTTACATTTAGGTCTATTTGAGTCGATTTTTTAGACCTTTCTGTATCTTTGTTCATTTTTTGCATGTGGGTAGCATGTAGTTCCAGTTCCATTTGTTGAAAACTGTCCTTTCTCCACTGAGTTGTCTTTGTTTATTTGTTTGGATCTCTTCTGTTCCATTTATTTGTCTCTTTTGCTAGCACCGTTTTGTCCTTAATCACTATAGCTTTAATATAGCTACTGCAGCTTCCTTTTGATTAGTGTTACTTCAGAATCTTTAATGTAACTGAACATTTTATTTGTTGATATTTCAGTTTTCAATTGAGATATAATTCACATAACACAAAATTCCCTATTTTAAAGTGTATACTTCATTGCTTTTTAGTATATTTACTGTGTTGTGCATACATCACTACTGTCTAATTCCAGAACATTTCATTACCCCAGAAAGAAACCTCGTACCTGCTAGTTCCAATTCTTCCCTTTCTCCATCCTCTGGCAACCACTAATGTACTTTCTGTCTTTATGGATTTGCTTATTCTGGAACATCTCACATAAATAGAATTATACAGTTATGTGGCCTTTGTGTCTGGCTTCCTTCACTTTGTGTAATGTTTTCAAGGTTCATCCAAGTTTAGGATGTAACAGTACTTTATTCCTTTTTGTGGCTGAATAATGTTCCATTGTATGGGCATGCCACATTTTGTTTACTCATTCATCAATTACTGCACATTTCAGTTTTTATTTGTTGGCTGTTATGAATAATTGCTGCTATGAGCATTCATATACATGTTTTTGTATGAATATCTGTTTTCAGTTCTATCGGGTATGAAATTACTGGGTAATTTTATGTTTAATTTTAAGGAACTGCCAAACTGTTTTTCCACAGCAACTGTACCATTTACATTTGCACCAGATGAGGGTTCCAGATGCTCCAAATCTTTATCAGCACTTTTTTTTTCTTCTTATTTTATTATAGCCATTTTAGTGGGTGTGAAGTGGTATTTTACTGTGATTTGATTTGCATTTCTCTAATGGTTAATGTGCATCTTTTCATGGGTTTCTTGGCCATTGGTACATTTTCCTCGGAGAAATGCCTATTCAAGTCCTTTGCTCATTTTAAAATTGGGTTGTCTATTTATGGTTGAGTTGTAAGAGTTCCTTGTATATTCTGGATAGTAGATCTTTGTCAGATAACATGATTTGCAAATATTTTCTTTCATTGTATGGATGTTTTTTCACTTTCTTGAAGTATTCTTGATGTGCAAAAGTTTTTATTTTGACTGTGTTCAATTTACCTATTTTTAAAATGCTTTTTGTTGTCATATCTAAGAAATCATTGTCTAATCCAAGGTCACACAGATTTTTTCCTCTAAGAGTCTTATAGTTTTAGCTGTCATGTTGAAGTCACTGATCCATTTTGAGTTAAAAATTTTTATACCGTGTGAGGTAGGTGTCTAGATTCATTCCTTTGCATGTAAATATTTACTTGTCCCAGCATCATTTGTTGAAAAGAAGGAATCTTACCCTTTGCAACAACATGGATGGCCCTTGAGGGCATTATGCTAAGTGAAATAAGTCAGACAGAGAAAGACAGATACCTTATGATCCTCAGTTATATATGGAATCTACAAAACAAAACAAGAGACTAAACTCATGGGTACAGAGAACAGAGTGGTGGTTGCCAGAGGTGGGGTTTGGGGGTGGAGTCAGATAGTACAAACTTCTAGTTCATAAGATAAATAAGTCTAGGGGATGTAATTACAACATGGTGACTGTAAGTAATCATACTGTATTATGTATTTGAATGTTGCTAAAGGAGTAAATCTTAAAAGATCTCATCACAAGAAAACAGTTTATAACTATGAGTGGTGATGGATGTGAACAACTTATTGTGATTGTTTCACAGTATATACAATTATTGAATTACGTTGTATTATTGAATACAACGTTGTATGTCAATTATACCTCAATTTTTAAAAAATAATTTATATTTTAAAGAGAGAGACCAAAAATCTGGAAGATGTGAATCACAATGTTAAATAGTAAAAAATATATATATTACTTGTGCTTATTTGCAGAGCATCAGTGTGGGTGACTGTTCACTCTCTATTATGTAATTACTATTTGAAAGTTTTACCTTGGACATTTGTCACTTTTAACATAAAGGGGAAAGCTGTTTTTATTTTGAGAAGCGCCTATTTAAAATGTCTAATTAGCCCTGCCGGTGTGGCTGAGTGGTTGAGCGTTGACCCATGCACCAAGAAGTCGCCACTTCAATTCCTGGTCAGGGCATATGCCCAGGTTGTGGGCTCGATCCCCAGTGGGGTGCATGCAGCAGGCAGCCAGTCAATGTTCTGTCTCATTGATGTTTCTTTCTCTCTCTCCCTCTCCATTCCTCTCTCTCTCTCAAATCAATAAAGAAAAAAAAAATTTAAATGTCTATTTAAAAAAAAAAAGCCCTTGTAGAATTTAGGCAACAGGAGAGAACGCTTTTGGTCAGCGCCCTCCTGGCACCTTTATAAGGTGTGCACGCACCTCGTCCATCCTGCGCAGGGGCGCTCTCCCTGTACTGTAGGGCCTATTAAGTGAGCAGGTGGCGTTTCTCTCCTACACTTTCTCTCATTTTATTTTTATATGTAAAATATGGTATCATTGAGTAATTTTTGTTTTTCCGGTTTCATTTTCAGGAAAACTTCGATGTCGATCATTTTGTTTCTGACTGTAGGAAGCGTGTCCAGCTGGAAGAACTGAGAGATGACCTGGAGCTCTACTATAAACTTCTTAAGACAGCCATGGTCGAACTCATCAACAAGGACTATGCAGATTTTGTCAACCTGTCCACAAACCTGGTAACCCTTAAACCCGTACTTTCAGCCAGTCGGTATATTTACACCCACACCCACACTGTCTTTCTCAACTCAGATTTATTCTTAAAAGTGCGAGTATTTTAGAAACCTTTTAGTTGACTTTTCCCTCAGAAACTGAAAGAGATTACTAGTCTCATTAAGTAATAAAACTAAACTTTCTTGATATACATTTTTATTTTCATATTTTTTTCTCGGTTAAGACTGTTCTAGCTTGATTATTTTTGAGCTGGTTATTAAGGATAACTGTATTTATAGTAATATTCTTAAGTTATAGATATACATAACATATAAATAGTGAAAAATAAAGAATAATAATGTCAAAGTAGTTGTTTTTGTTAGTTGCTAAGTGATCATCATGAAATCTCACTAATTTGCAAGAGTAAACATCAGCTGTCCTTAAGGAAATGTTTACTTTACTCAGGTACATGTGCTAACTGGGGCCGGTTGGAGGGACTGGCCAGTGTTGCTCTGTAGGAGACTTGGTTTCATAAAAATATAAGAGTGGTTTGTAATGAGCATATCAGTTGTTTGTAAAAGCCATTTAGGAATAAATGTTTGCCCTGACCACTGCTGCTCAGTGGTTAGAGCATCGGCCTATGCACCAAAGGGTCTCAGGTTCGATTCCTGGTCAAGAGCACATACCTGGGTTGCAGGTTTGGTCTCCAGCGCCACTTGGGGCACATGCTGGAGGCAAGCAGTGGGTGTGTCTCTCTCACATCGATGTCTCTCTCTCTCTATCCCTCCCTCCTTTCCTTCCACTCTCTTTAAAAATCAATGGAAAAGCCCTGGCTGGTTTGGCTCAGTGGTTGGAGCATTGGCCTGCAGACCAGAGAACCTCGAGTTTGGTTCCTGCTAGGGGCACATACCAAAAAAAAAATCAATGGAAAAAAATATCCTTGGTTGAAGATTAACAAAAAAGAAATAAAAAGAAAAGTAGAAATGCTTAAGTTTTATTACTGGAAAAAAGTTGTCTTGTTCATATTTTATTTTGTTTTGAAATCTATTTGTTTAAAGAAGTACAGAAAGTAGTTACCTCCATAGGGATTTCAAGAAGCATTAAAATTAATGAACCATATTTGCCTGTGGTAAATCTACCACTAAGATAAATGTTTCAGTAGGATTAGAAACCTCCCAAATTTTATTTTCCCTCTATTTAATTTGGATTTTTCTCAAAGGTTATAATCATGCTTAGAAGAGATAGAGCCCATCCATCAGACTTTTTGTTGTTGTTAATCTTCACCCTAGGATATTTTTTTATTGATTGCTTTTGGAGTGGAAGGGATGGAGGGAGGGAGAGAGAGACAGAGAAACATTGATTTGAGAGAAACACATGGATTGATTGGATCCCACACAACCCAGACCAGGGCCAGGGATCGAACCTGCAACCCAGGTATGTGCCCTTGACCAGGAATAGAACCCGAGACCCTTCAGTCCATGAGCCGATGCACTAACTGCTGAGACAAACCGTTCATGGTCCATCCATCAGACTTTGACATCAGCTGGTATTCACCTCCTGTTAAAATGTTTCAGATTCATTTAAAATTGTATCCAAAGGCAACTTGTGTATAAGGATACTTTCATTTCATATGACTTCCCTTATTTTATTGTTTTGTGTATATCAACAGATTTTTTTATATTTATGAGCAATATTTATGACAAAATAACATTTGTTATTTAGCTAGTTACTTAGCAGTGTATGGTTACACAGGAAGAATGACCTATGTCTAGTATTGCTTTGATCATTAAACATATACTTCACTCTTACTCCTGGTTCTGATGTGTTTGTGCCAACATGATTTTGCTTTTAGGTTGGCATGGACAAAGTCCTCAACCAGCTTTCTGTGCCTCTGGGACAATTACGAGAAGAAGTTCTGGTAAGTCCCCCAGTTATATCGAACAGTCCACCATAAAGCATGTTATGCTTGTTTGCCTTCTTCAGGAATTGCTTTTGTCTGGTAGATGGTAGTTGTTCAGTGGTTCATGACTAGCGCTCACTGTCAAAAAAGGTGTCAGTGATTCCCTGTGTTTTGCATGTAATCACATGTAAAAATATGTTTGATTTGGAGTTGACAGATTCCCAGAGTGTAGACAGCTTTGACATGTCAGGGGAGGGGAAGAGGCTATTTCAAAGTTCAACTTGTTCATACCACCTCATTCATTTGTAAGTGGTCTACTACTTACAAATGGCTGATATTTTAAAAATTTGCTATAATTTTACAAGTATTCTCCCAATCAGTGTTTTACGTGTGGCAGTGCTCCTAGACCAGTCCACAATTCAAGGATACTATAAATGTAATGTAATTACCTAATAAACATTACATTTTATTGTTTCTCTGAGAAAATCTCTGCTGTGGGAACAGGACTCCCCATCTCTAAACCATCACACACAGGAACTCCATCAGGATGAATAGTGGAGGGGGGTTTGGGCATCGCATCCAGCAGAAAGCTGTGCTGCCTTGTCCTCCCTCTGCCCCCAGCCTGCGTCAGGCTCCCCGACGTCCAGCTCTCTTAGCTTGATTCACTGTCTTAAATCTGCTGTGCTCCACCACCACTTCCTGGGCGTGTCACCACTAGACCACACCGCGTGAGTGGCCCTGTGCACCTAGCCCCTCAGGCCTGGCACGTAAGAGGCTCTCAGTCAGTAATGTCAGTGACGACGAAGTGCTGGGACAGAGCTGGAGAAAACAACTGTCAGTGCTGAGAAGTGCACAGCAGGAGGGGTAGACAGGATTCCCAAAAGAGAGGTGTCTTGAGCTGTGCGTTGAGCTAGCAACTATTTTTGAATGTTTAGGTCTTACTCAAATTTTATAAAAGCTTGTTAAATACTTTAACTTAGAATGGAAGTGGTTTTACTGGATCCCACATCAGCCTCTGCGTGGTTACTCTGCCTTCTTTTTGGTGCCCCTCTTCCTCCCCAAGCCTGGTAGCTGTGGTGTTTCCTGAACCTCAGCCTCTGTTAACCTTTTTTCTAAACTCTCCCTCCCTGGAGGTAGGTGTGCCCTGCTGACTTCTGCCTGGACCATGGTGGACTGCTCTCTCACACGCAGGCTCTGGTCCTGCTTGCCACCCGCCCGCGCCATGTCCCCTCCCTCTTTCTGCAGCTCTCCTCATAGCACCTCTCTCCCAGACAGCCACAGACCTCCCATTCCCTTTGAACTCGACTCGTGAAACTCCTGAGAGATTCTAAGATCATTGAGGGATGTGTTTCTGTCCTGTTCATCATTGTGTCCTCTTTGGCTGCCACAGTAGCTGACATTTCATAATGTTTATTGAATGAATGGATCTACCTTTCTATAGAATTTTTGTGATTTGTCCAGTTTATTTTAATTGTTTTACTTTTATTTTGGACCTAACTTCTAATCATCTCATACTTGGCTTAATTCATTAGTTTCTGGACATGTTTCTCCTCCTGTGACTCTCCCTTTTCCTAGCCATTCTTGCTTCCTAATACTCCCCAAATAACATTACATCATGGTATGTTAGCACTTAAAAATGCTTTAGTTTCTCCAATATGGTAACATCTGGTCTAAAGACTTTCTGTGAGTAAAGTCCTCCTAAACCAACCCCTCCCTTTTTATTTCTACTTCTCTCCGAAATGAAGCCTGCAGCTGTATGCCTCACCGCCCCCCCCATTGTCATACTCAGTTATATCTTCTACCTTTTCTTTTAATCTCCCCTCCACCCATGTCAGCCTACGCAGATGTTAGAATTGAACTCTGCCACGCTCTCCTGTACTTTGATATAGATTATCCTTTCTTTGCCCTGGGCATCTGTGACGTTCATTGTGTATGTATTATTATTCTTTTGGCCATTAATCCTGTGTGGCCTTAGCTTTATATGTCATTTGCCCCCAATCAACAGTAGCTTTGTCCGAAACTTTGTATTTTTGTCAATATCTGTATAATATTAGCCTGTAGATACTGGAATTGAATTACATATGTAAATTTAATTGAGTTCTGTGGAATTGAACTAAATGTTTAAATTTCATAATGTTACCAAACAATTTCTACAGTACATTTTCTTTATTTTTTAGAGTCTCAGGTCATCTGTCAGTGAAGGAATTCGGGCGGTAGATGAACGAATGTCTAAACAAGAGGACATTAGGGAAAAAAAGGTATAGTAAAGTGTTGTACTGTTAAACACGGACTTGTGATAGCACCTTGGAGTGAAGGCACTTGCATGCGTGTGGTCTGGTTTACTCCTCCAGGTGCTTTGCAGAGAGGAAGCATGAAGTCTCTTATCTTTACAGATTAGTCACTGAGCAAGGCTAGTGAGGGGCAGAGCCGGAGCTGGAGCCCTGGTCTTCTCTCTCCTGGTCTGATTAAAAAGGGGTGTGTTAAAGGAATGAAATTTTTAAATTTTATTTTTAATTTTTTTTTCCTTTATTGATTTCAGAGAGAGAGGAAGTGAGAGGGAGAGAGAGAGATAGAAACATCGATGAGAGAGAACATCGATTGGCCGCCTCCTGCATGCTCCCCACTGGGACTGGGCCCACAATCTGGGCACGTGTCCTGACCGGGAATTGAACCGGTGACCTCTTGGTACATGGGTCGATGCTCACCCATTGAGCCACACCAGCAGGACAGAAATGACATTTTTTAAAAGACAAAAAAGTCTAGAGTCTTCTTATGCTTTAATTTAGTTGTAGCAGCATTAACGTTTTTAAAGAAAACGAAATTTTGTAGGCTGCACGCCTACTAAAGTCCCTCTCCTCCTGTCTGCTCATAGTTTTCATTACAATGAAATTGGTTTTTTTCAAAGCTTTTGTGTGTGTGTGTGTGTGTGTGTGTGTGTATGCATTATAATGTCATGGTATCTATTTGAAATAAGACACAATTTTAGAGGTACCCGAGTGAGCACAAAATTAAAATTTCTCATTTTCCCCAGAACAGCAAATTGTAATTACATCAGTAAAGCACTTTATAGTTTAATAGGCATATACATTTTCAGAAAAAGGTATTTCTATTTTAGAGATTAGAGAGTAAGTAGACTTTCTAAAGCACCTTCTTTCAATATTGTACTGCAGGTTAATTGTTTTAGAAAAAGTAGTGTGTTGTGTTCTTACTCTGCTATGTTTACTACTTCTTTTGTTTCCCTCTTTAAATATACCTCTTCAGACCAGCCGGTGTGGATTGAGCATTGTCCCATGGACTGAGAGGTCTGGGTTCAATTCCTGGTCAGGGCACATGCCTGGGCTTGATCCCCTGTAGGAGGTGTGCAGGAGGCAGTCGATTGATGTATCTCTTTTACATTGATGTTTCTATCTCTCTCTCCCAAAAAAACAATAAAAACATATTTAAAAAAATACATAAATAAATAAAGATACTTCTTCATGTACTGCCTTTACTTTTTAGTGGTCCTGTGTTTTAATTTTATTTTCTGACTTATTTATAAACATACTGATAACAGTTGCAGAGTTGGAATTAGGATTCAAGACTTCTGACTCTAGCCTGGTGCTCCTGGTGTTTTCTAAATTTATTTATTAGCATATTTTTTAAAATGTCAGGGAGAGAAGCCTATTGTAGAGACCTTCTGTTTAATTCTTTAGCTGTCCTCTGAGCTTTTGTCTAAAGATTTTGAGAATGGAGTGCATTTCTAGAAAATAAAAGCCTCATGAGAGCAGGGAAATTTTCTTGGTTTATTCACTCAGGTCTCCACTGTCTAGAATGACTAGTTCTTTTTTTTTTAAATAGTTTCTTTTTTTTTTTTTTTTTTTTTATCCTCACCCGAGGATATTTTTTCCATTTTTTGTACAGATAGAGTGGGAGGGAGAGAGAGAGAGAAACATCGACGTGAAGGGACACATCGAGTGGCTGCCACCCGCACGACCAACCAGGGCCGGGGACAAACTGCAACCGAAGTACGTGCCCTTAGCGGGAACCGAACCCGGGTCTCTCCGGACCGCAGGCCGACGCTCTAACCGCTGAGCCAAACTGGTCAGGGCTAGAATGACTAGTTCTTAATAGCTGGTCAATAACTACTTGTTTAATGAATGACTTTGTATCTTTTGCTCTTTTGAGGATGAGAGTTTATATAATGTTCTTCATTACATTTGTAGTGTAATAATGTATTTAATGAATTGATACATTAAAACATGAACAAAAGGGTTATAAGAAAATAAATGTAGTACCAATAGAGAGGTACATTTAAGGTGAGAAAAAGAAGGAAGGAATAAGAGTACAGAGTATGAAGAAGCAAAGTCCAGTTTCTTTTTTACTATAAACTTGTAATAGACTATTGAGTATGCTTATTGTAGAAAGCCAAAATTAAGATTTGCATTCTTTGGGATTTAGTGTTATATAGACATTCAAAATGTTGGATGCTTCAAATAGTCTAAGTTGATTTTTGGCTTTATTTTTTCCTGCATTTAACATGAGGAAATAAGATAATTAAGATTAAACATCATAACTTTTTTTGTTTTATTTTAATTTTTATAGATGTGTGTGTTGAGGCTTATACAAGTTATTCGATCGGTTGAGAAAATTGAAAAGATCTTAAATTCTCAAAGTTCTAAAGAAACATCTGCACTGGAAGAACACAGGTAACTGTTTTTTACTAAATAGCACATAAATTAGTGCTTCATACTTAGGCTAAACTTTTGGTTTTAGTTAGAACTCATTTCTGAAAAAGAAGAAAATCCGTCTTTGGCTTCATTGTTTTTCAGGGTAGCTAATAAAAGTAGAATGCATGAAATGTTAATGTTTACAGCATGTTGTATGAACCTTTGTGCTTTTAGGCCGTAGCTTCCACACTTCTCCTTTCGGGGATCGGAAGCAGTGTGCTTTCAGTGGACGGTGTTTGTCTTTGGAATTGTCTTACCTAATGTCTGGCAAAATCCTTGTTGATCTTCAAGGTGTGGAATAGCATTCATCTTTCTTTGATTTTTTTTTTTTTTTTAGACACGCACAGAGTATTACCATTAGTGTCCATTGACTAGCATTGTATCATTAAGAAACAATATGGGACACATTTAGTTGAAATTTATAATCAAGAAAGAAAAAGCTTAAGAAACAAGAACAAGATGACCATTTCCTTGGCCATCTTGCTACCTTCCTATCCTGAATTTAAGTCAGCCAGGTAGATGAGCGACTCAGAAGTGAGTTGGGTATCATAGCAACAGCAGTGGCAAGTGTCATGGCATAGTGGGAGGAGCACAACTTTCTGCTGAATGTCCAGCTGGGCAGCCGGAGTTCGGGCCCTTCACTCTATCTCATCTGTAACTAAGGCTAGTAATAACTCCACTTGCAGGGTTGTCTGGCAGTCAATGGGACACTGTCAGCCAGTACCTGCATACAGCAGCCTTCATATGTGTCTCGTTTGGGTCTAACGTGAGCCCTCCTGAAAGTTACATTGACAGCCCTAATATTTTTCCATGAGTAATGTGAATAATCTGTGGCAAACCAACTGAAGCCAAGTTGCATTTACCTGTAGTTCAAAGGCATGTTAGATTTCTTCTCAAAATTTGAGACTTGGGCCCTGGCCGGTTTGGCTCAGCGGTTAGAGCGTCGGCCTACGGTCCAGAGAGACCCGGGTTCGGTTCCCGCTAAGGGCACATACATTGGTTGTAGTTTGTCCCTGGCCCTGGTTGGGTCGTGTGGCTGGCAGCCACTTGATGTGTCCTTTTCATGTCGATGTTTCTCTGTCTCTCTCTCTCTCTCCCACTCCATCTGAACAAAAAAATGGAAAAATGTCCTCAAGGATATATATATATAAAAAAAATTGAGACTTGGAAGGGACCTTAGAGACAGTATGCTCCATATCTCTCATTACATAGATTAAGCAACAGGCATCCAGAAAGGAAGAGATTCTAATGTCCTGGGTCTCATCTTCCTTTCATAATCAAGATGTACAAATGGATGGTTGGTACCTGCCATGTTTGTCCCTTTAGCTCACTGCACTTGTGCTCCTGCCTTTCCATTCCTTTATCTGCACTTGTCAGTCATAGTTGGTGTCTGTCCTGACCAGTCCAGGGAGTCTGTAGGTCTTGACTGCTCTGCTTCCCTGTTGCATTGACAGCTCCTTCCAGCTGTGTCCTCACTTGGCATCCATGGTACCTGCCTCCCAGTCTTCTTTCCATCTTTGCCCTTCCTACTCTGTTCCTTTGATAGAAATACCTCAGTGATTTCTATTTCTCTAATACTGTTCCTGTGCAGTGTTCCATCTTTGTTGTTGTTAATCCTCACCTAAGGATATTTCTTCCATTGATTTCTAGAGAGAGTGGGAGGGAGCGAGGGAGGGGAAGAGAGAAAGAGAGAGAGAGAAAGAAACATTGGTGCAAGAGAGACACATTGATTGATTGCGTCCTGAGTGCACCCTGACCAGGGCCGAGGATCAAACCTGCAACCCAGGTATGTGCCCTTGCTTGGGAATCAAACCCGAGATCCTTTGTGTACCGGCCGACGATCTAGCCTCTGTGCCACTCCTGCCAGAGCTGCAGTTCCATCTTTAATGTAATAGACATTATGTGCTTTTTGCCTCAGAATCACCTTTGAGGACCTTTACTTTAATTCAGATCCATAACTTTGAGCTGTAGAGAAGGGAAAAACCAGGGCAATGTAAGTGAATAGTAAATGTATCATGTCTATTAGGCCAAGACATGTTTAGATAACTTATAAATAGTAAATCCACATTAGGTTATTCGGGAAAGAGTTGGGGATTAACCTTTTGTGTTGATCCTGCTGGGCAGTTTCTGACCCTCTAAACTAGTTTGGCTGCTGCAAATGCAGGACCGAGCACTGCTGGTCTCAGTATGGCATTTCATGCTTGTCCTCGCTAACTGCTTGGTCATTATCAGAGACAGGCTGCCTCAGGAAAGCGCAGTGGGTGCTTCAATACCTTTATATTTTTCTTCTTTTGCTAATCTTTTACTATTTAACTTCCTTTTGAGTGGTAGTGATGCTTTTTTTTTTTTTATTCTCACAGCAGGATGTCTTTCTACTTTTGTTCAGATAGAGTGGAAGAGGGAGAGAGAGAAACATTGATGTGAGAGAGACACATCGAATGGCTGCCTCCCGTACGACCCCAACCAGGGCCGGGGATGAACCGCAACTGAGGTACATACCCTTAACCAGAATTGAACCTATGACTCATCAGTCCTCGGGCCGATGCTCTAACCATGGAGCCAAACGGCCAGGGCAGTAGTGATGCTTTATAATGTGTTTTAGAAAAAAAAGAAGGGCACTTATTGTTAGACTTTGTGAAAGATGCACAGTGAATGTTCTCTTGCCAGGACTCAGGGCATTTAAACTGACTGCTGTTTCAGCTATTGGTAAATATCAATTTAAAGGAAGCGGTTTTGAGATATTTTGTTTATCTCAACTAGAGGGCCAGTTGTATTTTCTGGGGGCAGCATCAGTGGCTACGTTACTTCCCCACGGCACCCAAACATGCTGTACGTAGAGTTCGTAGTGAAGACTGATGGCACAAAGGGTGCTTTCGCCTTCACCTTGTAACAAGGAAGGCATGGAAAACACTGTGAAGAAAGTTCTAACACAGTGGATGCTCCAGCATCACCATTGTTCATCATGTGATAAAAACACTTTAGGAATTAAATTTTTTTTTTTTATTAAAAAAATTTTTTTTTTTTCTCCTCACCCAAGGACACTTTTCTTTTCCTTGTTCAGATAGAGTGGGAGGGAGAGAGAGGAAGAGAGAGAGAGAAACATTGACATGAAAGGGACACATGGTTGCTACCCGCATGACCCATCCAGGGCCAAGGACAAACTGCAACCAAGGTACGCGCCCTTAGCGGGAACCGAACCTGGGTTTCTCTGGACTGCAGGCTGATGCTGAGCCAAACTGGCCAGGGCAGGAATTAATTTCTGTCATTGTCTCTACTAGCTCACTTTTGACTGGACAAATTTTGGAGAGAATTGCTACAGAATTTAACCAGCTACAGTTTCATGCTGTTCAAAGCAAAGGCATGCCTCTTTTGGACAAAGTAAGACCAGTAAGTGTTGTTTCAGATTTTCGTAGTTGGGTATCTAAGAATTTGCTAAATAATTTTGGTTTAACCTAGTAATGCCCCTGGTAATGGTTGGTGTATAGGATTTTGAAGCTAGCTTTGAATTTTTTCTTTCATTTTTTGTTGTTGTTTTTTTGGACCCCTGCTTCTTACATGTCATGCATTACAGATTTAGTGAAAAGACACAAGCATATTCTCTGAATTGTAAGAGTAAAATTATTTCTGAATTTCATGGAACTTGATACAATATATGATTCAGGGTTAATTTATCCAGAGCCCTTAACTGGACTTCAAAGTCATATGTCAGATTTACTCTGTAGCTTAAGAGGAAAATAACTTTTTTTCTCATTCTGTAATTCTTTCTGAACTCTCCTTTGATGGTGCAAAGGTTTACTTATAAAGAGATTTTGGGGAGGAAGAGAGATTCATTGTTACTCCTCAGGAAATGTTAATATTTTAATTTTACATATATGATCTATTAGAATAAAGGATTTATTAGGTATATGTTTTAACTTTTAAGAATTGTTCCAACTGGAGCTTTGTTTACTTATCTTCTTGCAGCGGATAGCAGGCATTACGGCCATGCTGCAGCAGTCACTAGAAGGCCTCCTCTTGGAAGGTCTGCAGACTTCTGATGTCGATATCATACGGCACTGCTTACGGACTTATGCCACGATCGATAAGACCCGGGATGCGGAGGCATTAGTTGGCCAAGTACTAGTGAAGCCATACATGGATCAGGTTTGTGCACCTAAAGGGCTTTATTCCACGAACATTCACAGAGCAGCTACTGTTCGATACCTCACTGGATGTGAGGGATAGATCAGGGAACTTTCTGTAAAGATCCTCATATTTACTACAATATCAGTTGTAAGAGAATGTTGCCCTATTGGCTACAATCAGCATGCCAGGAATCAGGCTCGCTCTCTTGTATTTTCTAATGATGCCATAGCCCAGGGATCATCTTTTTTTTTTATCCTCACCCGAGGACATTTTTCCATATTTTGTTCAGATAGAGTGGGAGGGAGAGAGAGAAAAACATCGACGTGAAAGGGACACATCGAGTGGTTGCCACCCACATGACCCATCCAGGGCCAGGGACAAATTGCAACCAAGGTACGCGCCCGTAGCGGGAACCGAACCTGGTCTCCCTGGACCACAGGCCGATGCGCTAACCACTGAGCAAAACCGGCCAGGGCGGGATTATCTTAATTTAGTGGGGGTGAAGGTCTGACCTAGGAAGGAAATATGTGTCAAAACCCTTTTAGGTCAATTTTACAGTATGTAAATTATGTGTCAGTAACATTGTTAAAAGCATTTTTGAACTACTGGTCTTGTGGGTAGAATAGAACAGTCCAGCAGATGGCCGCACTGAAGTGCGTGTGCGTGGTAGAGGAGCGTGTAGAGAACACCGAGCATGGAAACCGTGAGATTTGGCCCAAGTCTTCAAAAATATGGAGGAGTTGGCTGGGCCAAAACGAGGAGAGGGAGGGAATATTCAAAGACAAAGAACTTCTACAGGCAAAATGCAGAGTAATACCTTTAATTTAGAACTTGGCTCTTGGGTATTCTTCACCTGTTAGGATGCAGTTAAAATGTAGGAAGTAAGTATATTCTGCCTTTGAGCAGCCAAAATATAGATTATACTGTATGAAGTTGCCAGTTTTCAAGAGTTTTTTTTTTTGTTGTTTTTTTTTATCCTCACCCGAGGACATTTTTCCATTTTTGTTCAGGTAGAGTGGGAGGGGGAGAGAGGAACAGAGAGAGAGAGAAAGATCGACGTGAAAGGAACACATCGAGTGGCTGCCACCCGCATGACCTACCAGGGCCGGGGACAAACTGCAACCGAGGTACGCACCCTTAGCGGGAACCGAACCCGGGTCTCTCAGGACCTCAGGCCGACTCTCTAACCGCTGAGCCAAACCGGCCAGGGCTCAACAGTTTTCTGACATACAGAAATGGCAGTTTCATCTGGTTCAAACTCATAAAAGTCACTAAGCCCAAACTCGGTGTGTGCAGACTTCCAGTCACCTCTCAGGGTGGGTGTTCTTTCTGCCCAGTAAGTACAGAGCTTCTACTTGCTGTGACTTTGGAATGGAAGGCTTCCACTTTTAGAAGGGGAGAATTGAATCATTAGAGAGATGCAAATTAAATGACTGGGAGTTATCACCTCACACTTGCCAGAATGGCTGCCATCAACAAATCATCAAACAACAAGTGCTGGTGAGGGTGTGGAGAAAAGGGGACTCTAATGCACTGTTGGTGGGAATGCAGACTGGTGCAGCCACTATGAAAAACAATATGGTGTTTCCTCAAAAAATTAAAAATGGAACTGCCATTTGACCCAGTGATCCCACTTCTTGGAATATATCCTAAGAAGTCTGAAACACCAGTTTGAATTTATGCACCCCTATGTTCATAGCAGTGCTATTTATAATAGCTAAGATCTAGAAACTGCCCAGGTGTCCATCAGTAGATGTATGGATAAAAAAGCTGTGGTATACAATGGAATACTATGCAGCTGTAAAAAAGGAAGGCTCTCTTACCCTTTGAGAGAGCATGGAGGGACCTGGAAAGTATTATGCTAAGCAAAATAAACCAGTCAGAAATAGACAAGTTTCACATGATCTCACTTATTTGTAGACTATAATGAACGAAACTAGCTGACAAACAAAATAGATTCAGAGACATGAAGTAGGGAACAGACTGACAAACCTCAGAGGGGAGGGGGCTGGGGAAGAGGGAAGAGATAAACTAAAGAACTGATAGGCATATCTACATAACCAATGGACACAGATAACAGTGCAGTGAGGATGGGGGAGAGGGGAAAGGGCAGAGGGTGTCCATGAGGGGGAAAAAGGAGGGACATCTGTAATACTTTCAACAGTAAAGACAAAAAAATAAATAAAAGGAGAAATTGAATCATTGATAATGGAATTTAGGGATTAGTTTCAGGAATTCTTAGGGTTACCGAAAATTATGATTTGTCAGTTCCCTCTTTGTGTCATGTTGTATTTCATAGCTATCTCAATGGTGGTGAAAAAGATGAATTATCTACATCTTATCAATAAGTGAAATATTTGTTACTAATTCTGGCCTTTGTTTTCAATTGACTGAATCTAATGTGCTAAATTAAAGAAATGTGAAGTTTCAGTGGCATATTAAACCATGGCCACATTTTTAATTTTATTTAAATTGTATGCTTAACTTGTTCACCTCTTGACTCTCAACCTTACCACAAAAAATTAAATAATAAAGTAAAATAAAATGTATTGTCTTCCATCTTTGTCTCAAACCTTCCCCAAAACTGAGTGTTGGTAGAAGAAAAGGCTAATGTCTAAGCAGTAAGAAGCTATTGTCCTTCACATTCAAGCTCAGGAGGAAAGCAGATGTGTGGGCCTGGTGTTTCAGCCTCCGGCTAGCCGCTGACACCCGGCCTGTGACTGCACAGGGTCAGAACCGTGCACCCTCATCCTAGGAATTAGTTTTGAGTGCAGCTATTATTTGCCTACTGTTTAGAAAACGTCATTTGGGGAGGAGGGTGGGTTTTCTTTATTCTTTTCTTTGTAGTATGTAGTTCATACATTTCTTTTAGATGCTTTTTTAAAATGCTCTTTCTTTTAATAGGTGATTATAGAGCAGATTGTTGAGTCTCATCCAAATGGCCTTCAGATCATGTATAACAAACTCCTGGAGTTTGTTCCTCACCATTGCCGCCTTCTTCGAGAAGTCACAGGCGGAGCCATCTCAAGGTACTTGACTGCTGTGCTGGAGCGAACCTCAGTTTAATGATCGCACCTGCTAACTGGTACACTGCTGATGCCAGGGATGCTGGAGCACGCCTCAGTTTAATAGTTGCACCTGCTAACTATAGTATACTGCTGATAAGGGAGGTGCTGGAGTGCACCTCGGTTTAATGACTGCACCTGCTGACTGTAGTACACTGCTGATACAGGCTGACTTGTATCAGCTGGGCCCAGGATACCTCGGAGGAAGAGTGGGTTTGGCTCTAGACCATCACAGTAAAGCAAATATTGCAATAAAGTGAGTCACACCGATTTTTAGGTTTCCGGGTGCATATAAAAGTTATGTTACACTATCCTGTAGTTTACTAAGTGTGCAACAACCTTATTTCTGTAATAAACAATGTACCTACCTTAATTAAAAAAGACCTTATTGCTAAGAAATGCTAACCACCAGCTGAGCTTTCAGTGAGTCTTACTCTTTTCGCTGGTGGAGGGTCTCGCTCTTTCATTGTTACCAAATTGCTATGAAGCGGCATCGTTAGCCTTGTTTTACAGCTAAGAAACTAGTAGATGGAGCTAAGATTGACAGTTATAACACCTCTCTGAATCCAAAGCCCAACTCGTTCCTTCTGTCCCTGACTTTTTCTTAAATTAGTGGGAAATCAGTATTGGTTTCCTCTATTTTAATGTCATAATCTCTCTAGAAATACCAATTCAGATAAATCAACTTTAATTGTGATTAAAGTAGTTTTCAGTTTTCCTTCCTTCTTTTATTTAATCCATGACTTTCCAATTCCATTTCATAAATATCCTGTTACCGTTCACCACTGCCATTGTCCCACTCGAGGCCTCTGTCATCTTGTCTCCAGAACAGCAGGATCTCCCTACTTGGTCTCTCTGCCTCCACCCTCGTCCACTCGGTCCAGTCTTTGTCTATCACATTCACCCAGAATTCTGAGGTTCATGTACTCTGCCTTCTTCATAAGTCTATAGTGACTTCTCATTGCTTCTAGAGCAAAATCAGGCTTCTTGATGCAGCGTCTAAGGTCCTTGATGCTCTGGCCCGTGCATCTCCACTGTAGAGCCTCTGCTGTGGGACTTTCCCCTGTACCACTTGTCTGGCCACACGGTGGTGTTACCCTCTCCTGACACTCCCTGTATCATGTGCATCTGTATTTTTCTCCTGTCCCTTGCTCTTCCTGTTTCCTTTGCTTTTCTGTTGGCCAGGAAGCTCCAGCTCAGATACTACTTCCTTCAAGAGTCCATCTTTTGTCCTGATGTTCAGAGTTAACCATGGCCTCTGGATTTTGTTACATGTCACTTTCACTTCTGTTGATGACTAATTAACATCTTAATGGTGTGCTCACCGGCACTGCCCACACCTCCTCTACCTCCTGGAACCTTATCTTGAAGATAACAGCTACCCAGTATTTGCAAAAAAATATTAAATTTAGTGTTTTCAGCATTAGAAAGGCAAATGAGATATCTATCTTCATGGAGTAAGCAATATATTTGGTCTTGAAATTTCATTCTTTAAAAAGAAAAAAGATGGGATAATAAATACACTGTTTGACCTTTGAAATGCTCTGTTTTCTCTACATGATTTCAGATGAAGCCTAATTTTGCTATTTTTGTTTAGTAATCATTTTTATTGGGCATAAGAATTTTAGTAGAAGTTAAGATGTAAAATGAAAGAAGCCAGTTATGAAACAGCCAGTCATTAATTTGACAAGGTTAGTCTTGGTCCTGAAATGTTAGGTTTCAGAACTCTGTAAGTTCTTGTCCCAATTGTCAGTGTGGCAGAATTCTCATGGAAACCTCAGAAGGTGAGAAATTGTATTGTACCTTGGTAGGTCATGTTTCTTTGCTTCAGGCCCCATCGCTGTGCTGTCCTTGACCTTCCCTTGCTCAGCTCCTGCCTTTCAGTTTGGAATGCTTGGTGTGTCCAGGCTTTTTCTTTTTCCTACATCATCCTCGATGCGCTTTATAACTGGTGGTGCCAGCAACATTCAAGCTTCATCTTGCGAGGACCATGGATGAGCTTTTCTAGTTAGCCATCTGTTTCATTGTTAATCTTGCAGCCTTAAATTTCTCTTTGGGGCTTTCATTAGATATTTACTTTTGGGATGAGGAGGTCTCATCATTTAACATTGCTTATATTATGTGCTTCTGTAGTTTTAAAATCCTCAATGTTGCCCGGCTGGTGTGGCTCAGTGGTTGAGTGTCGGCCGGTTTGTTTCCTGGTCAGGGCACATTCCTAGGTTGTGGGCCAAATCCCTAGTGGGGGGCCATGCAGGAGGTGGCCCAATTGATGTTCTCTCATCAGTATCTCTATCTCTCTCTCCCTCTCTCTAAAATTGATAAAGAAAAGAAATTTAAAAAATAAAATAAAATACTCAATTTTGTTCTTTCCTTGTCCTGATACCTTAGTAGAGCTGGTTCTTACATGACTGAAAGTATATAATAGGATATGTGGAATCGGGTATTTGGAACTTTGTTAACCCTCCTTGGCTCTCTTCCAACCCCGCCAGTAATTTCTTATCAGTACTTACCTAGAGTGAGATTATTTGATAGCTCTTTCTGGACAGCAAAGCTTCCTTGATAACTTGTCTTTTTTGAAAACTATGTAAACTTTTTTCTGTTTGTTTTTAAACTTATCAGAATGTTAAGTCCCAATTTAATATTGATAATTTGACAACTTAGCTACAAAATTCCCAGTTTTGCTAAAATAAGATCATATATTAAATTGCTGGCCATTTTAAAAGAATGTTATCTTAAAATAGAGCATATTAGCCCCGGCCGGTTTTGCTCAGTGGTTAGAGCGTCGGCCTGCGGTCCCGAGAGACCTGGGTTCAGTTCCCGCTAAGGGCACGTACCTTGGTTGCAGTTTGTCTCCAGCCCTAGTTGGTCGTGCGGGTGGCAGCCACTCGATGTGTCCCTTTCGCGTCGACATTTCTCTCTCTCTCTTTTCCTCTCTCACCCTTCCACTCTATCTAAAGAAAAAAATGGAAAAATGTTCTCGGGTGAGGATAAAAAATAAATAGAGCATATTAGTCAATATACAACAACCAGAGTGGGTAGATCAGTGAGAGGATATTTGCCTAGAAGATATTTACAGGTCTTTAAGTACAAGAGAAAGGTGAGGAATTTGCCTTATTTATTTATTTATGTATTTAATCATTGTTAACAAAGCACTTAACTCTGTGCTAGGCACCATCCTAAATGCCTTATAAATATTAATTCATATAATAATCCTATGAGGTAGATGTTACTGCCATCCCCTTTTAAAGCCGAAGAAGCAAAACACCAGGAAGTTAAGTGACCCAAGCTTTGAACTCAGGTGCTCTGGCTCCTGAAGACCTGTTTTTATTTCAGTGTTGCCAGTCCTCTGAGTTTGTGAATTAGAAATCCAATCCAATCTCTTGCTAAAAGATGTGGAATGAAGCATGCCCACAGAAGAAAACATTAATGCTCTCAGTTTTTTGTATCAAGATGTGTGATCAAGATTTTATATGACATAGCCATAGAATTTTAGAACTGGAAGTAATCTAGACATAGTTTAATTATCACAAAGCTGTTAGTAATTGGTAAGTTAGCATAATTTACAATGCTTTAGAGTTTAGGGGTGTTAAGGTTGAATACAAAGATTGCTTTTTTGTGGTATTAAACTGCTTGTTTTCTAAGATAGAGTGTAGATGTAGTAAAAGGAGAAAATTGTGCCCAGGCAATTTGATGTGGTAGTTTTGCCTTATTCTTGACACCAGCTTGCTCTACTATGTGATGGATACAGAGAATGTGTTGGGTTCAAGGTGAGACTGAGTTCAAGGAGTGAAATAGAAATTTGGATATAGAAACAAACTGGTTGACAATTTTTTTTAAAAAAGGTTAAAGTAAGTTCCAGCCTGAGGAACTTTTTTAGTAAAAGCACCACAATGGAATTTTGCTCTTTGTAAGTAGGAGATTATGGTGTATTTGACTGCAATTTTGCTCTTACCTTACAGTGAAAAAGGCAATACTGTTCCTGGATATGATTTTTTGGTGAATTCTGTCTGGCCAGAAATAGTACGCGGATTAGAAGAGAACTTGCCCTCACTCTTTAATCCTGGGGATCCTGATGCATTTCATGAGGTACCTTTCCCTCCTTCATTTTGACTCTTGAAGATGGTAACCTGAGGCCTTAGAATAATCATGTTCTCTTCTGCACAGGCTTGGTTCCGTGGTTGGTTAAAAATCAAAATTTGAATTGTTGAGTGAGCATTTACCTTAAAACATATATTGCTTTATCCCTGTAACAGTCCCCGATGCTTTTAGGAATGAGAATATTTTAATTTTAGAATGTGAAGTAAAATTCATCCTAGACACAATTTTATGCATTATTTTCTAATTTTTGAAAAAAGGTTCTAGAACCATTAAAAACCTATCTCTTTGTAGTTGTTTTCCATGAAAAATTGAGTTTTTGTACCTATTGTATAATTGGAAGGGAAACAAAAATTATTTATTGGATTTTAAAATGTAGTATATAATTGTCCTACATAATTTATAATTTAAAAGATTAGGAGGCCCTAATATTTAGTGTTCTTTTTAAAAATTATGTTATCATTTAAAAAATTTCATGATTTAAATTTCAGAAGTAAATTCGTACGTGTATTTGTTGTGGTGGTGGTATCACGTTTTAAAGGCCGTGCAGTGCTGTGGTGAAGAGCAAAGGCTCTTGGCCAGTGGCCTGGATCCCTGGCCCCGCTCTCCTCACCAGCTTCCTGGTGCCTCTTTTCCTTCTCCTTCCCTGGACTTTGATTTTTGTAGTCAATGTGAAAATCTTTGTCTTTTGATTAGGTAATTTATTAAATTTATAATGACTGTTAATTATACATTTGGGTCTACTTTGTACTTCCCGTTGGTCCCACTTTTCTTCTTTTCTTCCTTATCCACTTTCTTTGTATTATGGACTTTTGGAAATTTGTTTTTCTCCTTTATTTTGTGTTTTTCCCTTTACTAATTTGGAAGTTCTGCCTTTTATTTCTGTGTATACTGAGTAACCTTAGTGGTTACAGAATCTAAAGTTTTCTGGTCTTCTTCAGCCTCTTGAACAGTACAGGAAACTTAGAGCTCTTTAATGCTAATCACCCCATTTCATAGTGTATGTTATTGTTTCCAGGGTCTTATTTCTATTTTGATTTCTTTAGCCCCAAAATAGGCATGGTTTGTGCTGTTTTATATGGTCGTTATCTTCTCAGGATTACCATGGGTCACTCCCACAGGTTTATCATTTCCTTTGCATACTGTTTCTTCCTGGATGTGAGACCTACTTTCCTGGATCATGTTTCTTCTTCCTAAAATTTATGTTAGAATATTTTTTAGTAAGGATCTATTAATAATAAACTTCATTTCTTTATAATGAACCCTTAGTTTGTGTTTTTCTGGAAATAACTTTATTTCATTTTTGAAAAGTAGTTTTGCTGGAAATAGAATTCTCTATATTTTGAATATTGTCTTCTGGCTTCTGTTACGAAATTAGCTATTAACCTAATAGTTGTTCTTTGTGGTTAATGCCTTTTTTTCTCTGACTGCTCTTAAAATCTCCTCTGTGACTTTGGTGTGCTGTTTCATTATAATACGCCTAATATGAGCTTCTTTTTATTTATTGTATTTGGGATTTATTGGGTTTCCTGAATCGGAGAATTGGTGTCTTCTATAAATTCTGGAACATTTTTGTCCGTTGTCTCTTCAGTTGTGCTTTCCTCCCATTCTTCTGTTATTTTCCTTCTAGAACTCTTGATTAGACTTCCTCACTTGATCCTCTATGTTTCCTAAATGTACTTTTATATTTTTCATCTCTTTTTGTTGCATTCTGGATAATTTCTCAGGTCCTGTCGTCTAGTTTTTGAATTCCTTCTTCAGTTGTGTTTAAACTGGTTTTTTTATCTGTACATTGTTTACAATTTTATTTATCTTAATTTTCATTTCTAGAAGTTCTTTGTGCTTCTTTTTCTTTTTATTTATTTTTTCTTTATTGATGTTAGAGAGAGAGGAAATGAGAGGGAGAGAGAGATAGAAACACTGATGAGAGAGAACATCAATTGGCCACCGCCTGCATGCTCCCCTCTGGGGATTAGGCCCACAACTTGGGCACATGCCCTGTCCGGGAATTGAACCCGTGACCTCTTGGTGCATGGGTCGACGTTCAACCATTGAGCCACACCAGCCCGACTAGTGGAAAGAAATTTAACACCTGTAGTGTTCATTGCACTGAAATTCCTGTCGAAGCACAAACCTCAGCATATTGAGGTGCATGGTTTGGTGTGACTCAGAATTGAGCCCCTCTTAATTGAGAAGTATGTGGGTAGTCCAGCAGTGTTCTCCTTGGAGCCTGGAGCTTGGGGAATTATATGCCCTTTACGGCAGCCACAGTTTTGTTCTACTGACTGACCAGGGTTCTGTTTCCTCTATTTCCTAACTCTGTCTTTGAGCAAATTCTCTCTGAGCTAAACAGAAGAGGAAACATCATCTGTAAAATGGGGAGGGTAAAAATAATAGTAGTTACTTAATAGGGTAGTTTTGTGGGTTAAATTAATACACTTTTAAGCACAGAATGTAGATGATAAATGTTAAGTAGTTGTTAGCTGCTGCTCTTAATGGAGCTGTTAGATCCCTGTCACTGTTGGTGCTGCCTTGTCTATAAAAGTGATGTAACCATTCTCATGGTTTGATTCTTTCATTTTTGAAATTTTCTACTTCTTCTGGAGAGGCAAGGAAAGTTATACTGCCTAATCGACTATATCATCCGATTGGCCTGGGTTAGGGGTTCCCTAGAATAAGAGAACTGTCACTTAAAGAGCACTGGATGTAGAACATGCAGGTTTCCAAATGGACTTGTGTGAAAGACCTCGAGCGTGCCACGGAACCACTCTGGGCACGGCCTGATCTCTAAGTGGGGCCCTCGAAGGAAGATCCCTTAATAAGGTCCATGTCAGCTCTAGAAACTATGATTCTCTGTGTTGACATTTTTCTTGATTACAGTTTTTAGTATATGCTCCCAATCCTGGTTAGTTTGCTTACAATGAAAATGCCACCTGTTTTGTTTGTTCTTATTTTAGAAATATACCATAAGTATGGATTTTGTAAGAGCATTTGAACGGCAATGTGGATCACAGGCCAGTGTAAAAAGACTAAGAGCACATCCCGCCTATCACAACTTCAATAATAAGTGGAACTTGCCTGTTTATTTTCAAATAAGGTCAGTAGTTTATTCACCTCCCACCTCTACCTTTCCGATGGAACTAGAATACCAGATAAGGATGTTGTTCCCAATTGACAGCCTTTTCTTTGTGATCATCATACTGTTCTTTGGGAAATAAAATTTAAAGTGGAAATGTACAAGAAATATTATGATTGTCAAAATTATGGCTTACATGACAGAAAGATAATATTTATATTTTGGTAATTAGAGAGCTGGGAACACTAGGCTGGGAATGAGTTGGACTCCAAGCCCAGCTTCATTCTCACACATTCTCATTTGTTGTGGGAGAGAGAAGGCAGGAGTTAGATAGCAACTCCTTCTTGCCCGTGTCCCTGTCTCATCACCTGCCTCAAATACTGGACCTGTCCCACAGCTGGTGTTTTTGCTCATCTGTAACAGTTTCTCCCTCAGAGGGAGTGGGGAGAAACTCAGCGTCAAGTGTTCTTTGCAGCTGATTCTGTGTACGGTTTATGAGAATCCTGGTTGTTAACTTGGCTTTCTTTATAATCCTCGTGACACCTGTTCTCTCTGTTCTGGAAAACGGTGCTACTTATGTTCCAGATCTTACGATGCTGTCGCCTGTCAGTCAGTAAGTGGTTCTGTAAACTACTCGAGAAACCTTGTGATAAACCCATACCAACATACATTCCACTAGAAAAACTAGATGACAGCAGCCATCTTTGCATATTCTCTTGAATGAGGTCATGGTAAGCTCCTCCAAAGAATAACATTAACTAGAGTGTTTTAGTTGAAATGCTCTTTAAAGAATCACAGGCTTTTTGTTTAAATTTTTGGATGCTTTTGTTAATTGTGATTCAGTCCTTTCCCACAGAGTTCTGAGGAAAAATTACAGAGAGGCACATATATTAAGAATCAAGTACCTTGATTGTAATTGCTTGCCATGATTGCAAATATATGTAATTATCTTAGATCATGAAATCACAGTTTTCAGAATGTTAGTAAGGTGCACTTTCATGTGCATACAATACTGTGCTTTATGCTTAATTTTTCTGAGTTACATTATCTTGTAGCTTGTCTTTTGGTAGGAAACTAAGGATTTGTTCATCTAAGGTATTCATGAGCCCATTGGAAATATTTGATAATCAGAATCAAGCCAGGACCAGAAGCCCTTTAAATTTGTAAGAAGAGTTTGAACTAGTGAAGCATCATTTTTCAGGCTTAGCCTGAACTGAGAAATACTGTTTAAATTTGACCATTTCTTCTGCAGTCCGTTTGGAGCTAGATCGCTTTGGGTGCCATCATGGGACGTCCTCCTGTCTGCTGCCTGCACACTCCGCCTTTCTGAGCATTGCCCCAGGCCCCATGGCCCATGCTTAGTGATCTTGCACTGTCACCCACCTCTGGGAGCTGCCCTGGACTGTTCCTGGCCTGTGCTCTGGGCTCTGCCCGGCAGGCCCACGGGGACACTCAGCCTCGCTGGTGCTCCTCACTCCAGGTCCTGTCAGAGCAGCTTAAACTCAGCCAGATTCCTGCCTGTTTTCCTTGGCCAGCTTTTAGCCTTCAGCAGTCATGGGGTTGGTTAACTTTTCTTTGTAAATGGTTTTATTTAAAATTAATGAAATTTAAAAATTATTTTTCAGATAGGGAAGTTGTTCTCAATATATTTGCTTTTCCATTTAAAAGTAAACCCAAGTAATACTTTGTAGGACTCTCCTATTGATTTTTATCAGGTGTCGGATTGTTTACCCTGAATTATGACAAGAAGTTCTGCAAACATGGCTGGGGTCAGAGTTGCACTGTTACTGATTCTCTTTACGATCATTTAAAGGAAGCCTAAAAGCCAGTGGGCGGGACTGTTGTTACATGTCGCTGAGGAGGACCATTTCTGTTGCACTCTTAGTAAAGTGTGCGCCTGCCTCTGACGGTGCAGACATCCCCCCACCATCCTGTGAGCACACTGCCCCTCACTGTCCTGGCGCCTGCCTGCGTCTGCCTTGCACGTTCTTACAGGAGTGTCGGAAAGTAAGCTCAGAACTTTGTTTCTCGTGGGAAGAAGACAGATGCAAATATGACCAAAACAGTCTTAGATTGTATTGAGTCCATGGCTTCCTGGACACTGTGGTATTAAGCCCTTAAATGCCAAAGGCTAAGTTTTAGGTCTGTTTTAATTGAAATCTTTCTAGAATATTCTATGCTCCCAGAACATGTGCATATATACTGTACATATTCTGTTCAGTGCATGGTGAGCGTGTCTTCTCCTTTATGGTGAATAATCTACCCAGGATCACCTCGCTTTTCCTCCCTCCCCCTCAAGTCCACCTGTGCAGAACAGAGACATACCTCCCAGTGTTTCTGATGCTGCAGGGCAGTCCTTTCTTTGAGGCAACACCATCGCTATTATTACTCCCTTTCTAGTTTTAGATAAGTATTTTTGTGCCATTGTAGACCTGTGACATGCATGGAGGAATATGTCTGTAGAGACCTTTCCCAAACCCAAATTTAAGAATTGAGAAATGTTTCTATTTGGAGTTGCCTTCTTTACAAATATCTATTAAGACCAAAATGACATTCCACATACATGTGAAAACTAAGCTCACCTTTTCAGTTCACCCAGGTACCCTCTCACCGTTTGCCATTTTCCTAGAAGACGTATAAACTAATATAACCCTCTCTCCTGAAAGTGACTTCCCAGCAAAGCAACATGGGGGTTTGCTGGGGTGGGGGTGGAGGCCCGGCTGTGTCAAGTACTGAGGCCGTTTACAGTCAGGGATCTCTCCCCTTGGTTGCAGAGTCAGATGTCTGTGTGAGCGGCCTGACACCGAGGGTCTGCTGTGACTGTTTCCTATACTTTCCCATGTGTGTGTTTCCAGAGTTCTCACAAACGTACATAAAACTGCGTCCCAGGGCTCTGTCACTGCTAAATCGCACCTCTTCTTCCTGGTCCCTCGATGGCTTGAGCTGACTGCTTGTCAGACCCATTCCCGTGTGGCAGTGCCACATGCTGTGTAAGCACTTCCTCCAGGGGACCTTCAGTTGCTTCCAGGGTTTCCCTGTTACAAGCCTTGCTGAGTTAGCTGGCAGGCCCGTTCTCTATTGGAGTTTACTTCCTATATTTGTATACCTTTTGGACAAGGTAGAGTCAGGTTTGAGGCCGAGGTGTCGATGCTGGTTTGCTCTCCCAGCTGCAGAGCCATTCCTGCCCCTTCTCGTCACTGTGCTCGGGGTCACCGCTTCCTTTGCTGCTGTTCGGGGGCTGGTCTCCGTGCTCTCTTGTCCCACTTCTCTGCTGTCCTGTGTTCCTTCTGCACCTCTCACTGCCGCTGGGAGAGATGAGCCCTGTGTGAGCTTCCCTGGGTGGTGGGAGAGACCGTTCCTCCACGGGGCAGATAGGCTGCGGCGGGAAACCAGCGTCCAGGTGCTCTTCGCAGCTGCTGCTCTCAGCGTGCGCACCCTTGTTGAGGGCAGGCTGCTGCTTTTTGTCTGAAGTGCAGTTTCTTTTACTGTTCAGTGTCCTTGAACTCGGTCTCTGAACTCTTTACTAAAAGCATATATGTACTAGCAAAAAACCCAAAATTATCAACTAGGTAAGGTGATCTTAAGCATGTATCAGAACTTATTGCCAGCAAGGATACCAGCTAGGAGGTGACAAAAGAATGTGCTCGTCTTGGGAAACAATACTGCTTAAGCAGCTAGTTAGAAAATAAAACATACAGTCATGTATTTATTATTCTGGTCAATGACGGACGATATGTACGCCGGTGGTCCTACTAATACTATAGTGAAGCTGAATTTCCTGTAGGAAATGGAAGGATATGTGGTTTGGGAGCAATTTTATTTTCTCTAATAGAAGAACTATCTGTGGGGCTTGGAACAGATTCCCTGTCGCCCTCCGCACCTCAGTGCTGAGGGCTCAGACGACCCCTCCGTCCGTCAGCAGCTCACCTGGGTCAGCACAGAGGAGCCCGTCCCCCCAGCACTGCACATTCAGAGGGCACAGCCCTCCCGACCCAGCTGAGGGTCTTAAGGGTACACTGTAAATTCTGTGTAGGGACCTGAGACCCTGCCCAAGGACCCAGGTCCACAGGGGCCACCTTGCCAAGGACTAAACGCCACTGTCACTTTGGTAAAAGCATTCTGTGTGGTGTGGAGCCAGCCTGATGCCCCTGGCCCCACACAGCCTCCCCATTACCAACATCCCTCACCAGAGCGGGACACCTGTGACAGTTGATGAACCTACACTGATGTGTCGTCATCACTCATCACCTGAATATTTGTTTGCTGAAGTATATATGCCGGGGGTTGGAAGAGCAGCTCTGAATCTGGCCGGCAACCCCTATCTGGACCTTGCTTGTTCGCAGCTGTAGGAATTACAGAAGAAACTGTAGCTCCGAGGGCGCATCGCCTTCTCTCCCCGTTTCCTGCAGCACCTCACCTTGTTCCTCTAGGTCTTCCGTTCTCCCTCTGCCTCCGTCTTACAAGGAACACGTGATTGCACCCAGAGAACCAGACCCTGTCCTCTCCTCAGGGTCTCTCATTTAGTCCCATCTGCAAAGCCCTGTGCCGTGTAAGGTTCCGTCTCCAGGGATTAGGACCTGGTGTCTTCAGAGCCCTTATTCAGCCCGTGGGTGGAGGATTCCTGTACTTAGGAAGAAGGGAGAATAGGTAGGAACAGGCATCTAGCAGCAGCAAACACACTGATTTGCACTCTTGTTTTTATCCCAGATTCAGAGAAATAGCGGGATCCTTAGAAGCAGCACTTACAGATGTACTGGAAGACGCTCCAGGTAACTTCCTTAAAATGATAAATGACAGGATGTCACTGAATGAGTGCATTGAGCTCACCAAGTCATCTAGACCCTGATACCCAAGGGTACTTTAACTTACAGTAAGTTAGACCTTAAAGACTTACTATAACTTCTTTTTTTGTAAGAGAGGAAAAGAAATCACATTTTTTGGTTTATACACTTTTCTGTTTTTACAGTTTCTTGATAAGAGGTTGTTTTAAGAATATAGGAAGCAGACCCATTTTTTGTTCCTGAATATCACATATGAAGGGGACATGATCCCTGGTGTACCATGTGATCAGCCCTTTTTATAGCAAACTGGCTAAGCTGCTTTCCTCCCAGGATCAGGGTGGCCCCTCCCTGGGGTGACTCACAGCTGGGGCTTGGGCCTCCAGAGCGCTGGGCACCAGACCTGGGACGTAGGACAAGTGGCAGCGGTCGGTACGCAGACTTTCCAGATGTGTTTGCTTCCCTGTAGCTTCATCAGTCTTGTCACGTGGTTGTTCCTAGTGGCCACTCACAGACATGGGGCTGTGTATCCACATAGGTCTCTGGGCTGCTGCATCCTTTATTTGCAACTCAGTCTGAACTGCTTTCTTCTAGCCTGAAAGTTAGTTTTCATCTGCCTTTGCCAAAAGCTCGTGTGGAGTTAACTTCCTATAAACAAATAGTTTATTCAGGTAAGGGAAGAGAAGGTGACAAATGGAACAGGACAAATTCAAAACCAGAGTTTAAACCCTTGTAAGTGACTGCCATTTTGCTCATGTTTGTTGATTTGGTATAAAGTACCTATTAACAGATTATTTCTGAATGCTGTATATGTTTAGTATTTATTCAACACCTGGGAGGTGGAATCGTGTAAAAATCGGAAAGCGCATCGCCGTGAGAGGTGTTGTAATAACATGGGTTATGTGGCCACCTGGTCATTCCTGTCGCCTCCACTAACGGCTTTCCTGACCTCACAGAGTTCTGCAGAATGCCACTTTCTTCACTCAAATTATACAAATATCAGACTGCAGCCCTTCATAGATGCATCCTTCTGTGTGTGCTTCTTCTCCAGCCGGAAGCTCCTTCTGCCTGTTGGCTTCTCATAGGACATGGAGCAGCCTGCAGAGGTGTTGGTCAGAGCAGATGTTCCTGCCGTCGCTGGCGCATCGCCTGTGGAGACTCACGCTGCAGGTTCTGGCGCGGTACTCCGTGTTCGTCGGCGAGGTGAGGGCCGGCTGTGGCTCGGCCGCCGTCAGGGCCGACGAAGGAGAGGGACGTTCAGCTAGACGTGCAAGGGCTTTAAAGGCCATGTTGTCATAGGCTCACTGCTCAGGTCTGATCCCGCTGTTTCGGTTTCCTTTTCCCTCCCCCAAGTGTTCTGTGCGGTTGCTCGTGGTCTCGGGTCAGCGCTCCGCCTTGTCGGGAAGCTCCGCACTGACGAGCCCTTCTCCCGTCTCAGAGCCAGCATCTTGACGCGCCTCCCGAATAAAACCAGGGTGCTCATTTCAGTGAAAATGTTTGGGAATAAAGACGTATGGGTTTTAATAGTTAGTATTTGGAAATTGAAAAATCATATGCTCGTTGAGATTAAAAGGTAGTAAAATTAATTAACCTTTCAGTCACTTCAGAATATCCTACTTTTTCTCTTTTCAGGTAGTTGAATATATTTTTTTTAATTTTTATTTTAATTTATTTTTTTTATCCTCACCCGAGGACATTTTTCCATTTTTTTGTTCAGATAGAGTGGGAGGGAGAGAGAGGAAGAGAGAGAGAGAGAGAAACATCGACATGAAAGGGACACATTGAGTGGCTTCCCCCTGCACGACCCACCAGGGCCGGGGACAAACTGCAACCGAGGTACATGCCCTTAGCGGGAACCGAACCCAGGTCTCTCTGGACTGCAGGCTGACGCTCTAACCGCTGAGCCAAACCGGCCAGGGCCAGGTAGTTGAATATATTAAATGTCCACACGTCCATGATGGTTTACTAGATATCATGCGTACAGTACAGTTCATTGCCGAGCGCCCGGCCTCTGCCAGGCCCTGCACCAGCATCTCAGTCTCAGGTGCCCTGTCTCCATGGACAGACACGCATGCCCTGGTCATTGCCATGTGAAATGACTGAAAACCGAGATGTGTGTAAGGGTTCAGGAAGTCAGCGTGAGGAAGATGTCATTCATCGAGAGGAAGACAGTCCTTGTTGACTGGAGTAGGAGGGGCCAGTTGTCCTGCATGGTGATTTCACGGGAAGAGCACCGGCTTTAGAGTCAGGAAACCAGACCTTGGCTCTGCCACCTTGTAGTTGTGTGGCTGCGAGAAAATTAGACGAATCTCAGATTCTTCATCTGTAAAATTCTTCTGTATGTTGTGAGGAGTAAGGAGATACTTGTTGAATGACAAACTGTTGACAGAAGTGTGTGACACTTAATGGGACCCAGTGGAAGTTAGTGTCCCCTTTCCCTTTGCTCAGAAGGGTCCTAGCAGACCAGCCTGGTTCGTTAGGCCGTTTCTGGAGCCCACTGAACGATTCGTGGGGCACCACGTGGCTGCACGATTCTTGTTAGGCCCGGCCTGCTAAGTCACGCAGTCTTTCTTGCTGGCCAGAACTTATATCTCTAATCAGTTATTTTTCTTTGAACATTCATTATTTCATTCTTTTCTTGATGCTATTACTTCTCTTTGGTTTTCTCCGTCTAGCAATACATGATGCAAAGAACACTTTTGTTTGTATTATTTGAAGCATAATGATGTTTGGATTTTGATTTTTAATATTATATTATAATAAATTAAGTAAACTCAGTAAGTTATTTACCTAATTTAGTTAATTTTTAAAACCTGTGATGTGCCAGAAATCGATTTGCCTTCAGTTTAGGGACCTGTTACTTTACGCTTGCCTGTTCCTCTTTAGCTCTGGAATTAGACACGCGCTCCGGCGTGACATCTGTGGGCTTGAGGTTTGTTCTTGTCTCTCGCCAAGTCCTTCACACCTGTCAGAAGATGAGATGGTGTGCTTTCATTAGTAGGCACAGACTGCCGACAGCTGGCATTTGTGGGGACTTGTTGACCCACGTATGTCCATTCTCACGTGCCTGCAGTGGCAGAGTATTTAATCACTGAATCCTTTCTCAGCTTTCACTCAGGCCCATCTCTAATGAAAGTGCCAAGGATACTAAAAAACCTCTGGTAACTGGTATCAAAGACCCTGCCGTTACCCAAGGAAACAGTGAAGACCAAGGAAGTGGTCCTTCCGAAACAAAGCCCGTAGCTTCCATCTCCAGCACTCAGCTTGTGTACGTGGTCGCAGACCTGGACAGGCTTCAGGAGCAGGTGAGCTTGTCCCACGATGCCATGTGCTCAGGGCTGTGTTTCCTTAGAAAGTGCGCAAAGACCTGACACCATCCGCCCAGGGGCTCAGACTCTTGGGGCCCAGGACACCCCGAGAGAACACCTCCCACAGCGCTCTCTTGCTCCTTCCTCCCGGCCTGTTCTCGGAGCACGCTACCTGGGCCTCTGTGATCGCTGAGCGCAGCGCAGGCCGTGCCCACAGGCGTCTCATCAGCTCAGCTCACTGTGCGGGCACCCTCTCTAGTGGGCTGGATTTTAATTATTTCTCATTCAAGTACCCCGATATTTCTTGGTAACATTTACTCTTCAGCTATACTTCGAAAGTACTGAGCTATTAAATTTATTTTCCTCCGAGTCCTGTGCCTGTTCCATGTTTTTGCTTTCATTAAGAACTTTGTGGATAAATTTTTGTTTAAGTACTCTGTTACATAATTGTGCTTTTCTCAAGTTCAAGTATTTTGTGGTGCTCAAACAAATATTGTATGTTTTAAGCAAAAACATGGTCTTTTACTTGAGCTTTTTTAGTACTGGGGAGAGCCACAATGTTTATTCTTTGGGCCTACTAACAGCCATGAAATTGCTATTTCCCATGGTGAGTGTTTTTCTCGTGAAGGTTTCATTAAGAATTTTGCTGTCTTCTGATGAAAGTTACTGGGAGTCCTGAGTTTCATTTCAGCATTCATTAGCAGTATCCTAGAGATCGTAGATGGCAGGTAGAACCGCCTCTTCCTTTGATTTAAAAAAGTAACTGAATATATAAAGTGCATATTTATTCCAGCTTCCAGAACTCTTGGAAAAAATCAAGCCCAAACTGGAAATGATTGGCTTTAAGAATTTTTCTTCTATCTCAGGTAAAAATGAATCTTTAGACTTAGAAAATCTTTGAATAAGAAATAATTTTTGAAAAAATTTAAAGACTGGGATATATTTCAACTACCATTCTCTTTACCTATAAATCTTTAGTTGTTTCTCTATTTTATTCTGTGATTATATATATGATCATAATTTCCCTAAATGAGAAATTTTGCTCAGTTTTAGTCATTTGATTTATTGTTGTACACTCTCTAAATACTATCACAGCATTTAAAATAAGTCACATCCAGACTGGATAGAGTGACTAAGCACAGTCTGTGTGTCAGCAGCAGCCCTGGAGGACTCGCAGCGGTCCTTGTCAGCCTGTGTGCCCGCCCTGAGCACCAGGATCGTCCAAGACTTAAGTGAGTCTTGCTTCACTTACCTGAAAAGTGCCCTGGAGGTTCCCCGGCTGTACCGAAGAACCAACAAGGTCAGCGCCCTTCCTTGCAGAGTTGTGAGGGGGAGTGCACAGCAGGAGGCCGGCGGGAGGCGTGGTTGAGCGGGAGACAGAGCTAGGGTCTCGGGAGGAGCCTGGCACACTCCTGTCTCATTCAGAGACATGTCTGTGAGACACACTCCACATGGATGGCCGGTGCTTTGCTAGTTGGACTTAGTGCGGACTTTTAAGTCCTGTACCTTCGTGGCGTAATTTTGTCTTCATTGTCTCAAATTTTAAAAAATTAGAATTTACCTTGTTCCCCTCATCCTGTCATTGGAAGTACCTGCTTTCTCCTGTTTTTCTACTGGATGCAGTTTAGAAAACTGCATTGAGAAATACAGCTTTTTTTTAATCCTCACCCAAGGACATTTTACAATATTTTGTTCAGATAGAGTGGGAGGGAGAGAGAGAGAGAGAGAGAAACATAGACGTGAAAGGGACATATCAAGTGGCTGCCACCCACACGACCAACCAGGGCTGGGGACAAACTGCACCGAGGTACATGCCCTTAGTGGGAACTGAACCCGGGTCTCTCTGGACCTCAGGCCGACGCTCTAACCGCTGAGCCAAACTGGCCAGGGCAAGAAATACAGATTTAAAAAAATATATATTAATGGCATTCTCTGTTTTCTGCTTTTATAGAAAGATGATTTGGGGAATTTATTTTTACGAGTGCTTTAGTTTTTCCTATTGAACTCTCATTTTCATACATTTACACTTATTTTATTCTTGCTAGATCACAAGTTTCCCTCTGATTTTTTTTTTTTAATCCTCACCCGAGGACATTTTTTGTTCAGATAGAGCGGGAGGGAGAGAGAGGAAGAGAGAGAGAGAGAAACATCGACGTGAAAGGGACACATCGAGTGGCTGCCACCCGCACGACCAACCAGGGCTGGGGACAAACTGCAACCGAGGTACGTGCCCTTAGCGGGAACCGAACCCGGGTCTCTCTGTACCGCAGGCCGACGCTCCAACTGCTGAGCCAAACCGGCCAGGGCTCCCTCTGATTTTATTTTTTCCCAGTTGTAGAGTGGGGTTTTAGGCAGTTTACAACTAAAAATTTTCTCAGGAATTCTGAAGACCTGCCGCATCGTGCAGTCCTGAGGTCCCCGGCTTCCTGCAGACCTGCCTGGTGGGAGCAGCCTCTGCCACCCGGCGCGGGTTTGGCGGGAGCACGTGGCGCCTTGTTGCTGAGCTGAGGTTGAACTAACCTCCTCTGTGGCCGCTCTCCTTTGGAAGCCTGTGGCCTGCAGTGGGATGACACTCTAGCAAGAGCACTCATCTCCTCATTTTCTCTTGCTAGGTCTCTCTGGTCTGACTGGACGCTCCCGCCTAGAAGCGGGAAGGACGGACTATTATGTTGCCAAATACATTTTTCTTTGGTCGTCTACCAGCTTTCCCTTTCTGTTCACTAGGGTCTGTGTTTACTGAGGGCTTGCGTGTGGGTCAGACACTGTGCGAAACCCTTTACATCCACTCCCATTAGTCCTGCAAAGTGGGTACTGGTGTCCTGTTGACAGATGAAGAAACCAGAGTTAGAAAAGCCATTACTCACCCTAGATCCTGCTTTTCCAACGGCAGTCTTTTGACCAGCAGCATTAGCATCACCTAGCAGCAAAGCCCAGCCCCCACCCCCGTCCACACAGAATCGGACCTGGAATTCAGTGAGACCACTGGGGGGGGGGTGTGGGTGATGGGAAGCAGTGCCCTAGGGAACGACGCCGGCAGTGGCTGGCGCGGCACCTGAACCCAGTCGAGCTCCAGACCAGACCCGACCTCTCCCCCTTCTTGCCGACTCCTGCTGTTCTCCAGGTGCCTTTCTGTAGACAACACTTCCCTTTTGGAAGGGGTGCAGGGTGTACACGTCTCAGAACTGGTACATTACTAGTGTTCTTTTGAACTTGAGGTTCCAGTAACTTCCTGTCTTTCTTTCTGTGCCTCTGTCACCCCTGCCACCGTTATCTAGGAGGTGCCAACGACAGCTTCCCCGTACGTGGACAGTGCTCTGAAGCCATTTTACCAGCTTCAGGGTGGGCACAGGGATAAGCTCAGACACGCGATGATTCAGCAGTGGCTAGAGGGCGCGCTCTCAGAGAGCACTCACAGGTGAGTGCCTCACACAGACTGCTCTGGACTTCCTTAGAAAGCCCTGAGCCCGTCACAGGGTGGCAGGTGACAGGAGGTAACATCATATCGCTTCGTCGCCGGACAGGCAGGGGAGGCGCTCAGCTCTCTGCCCTGTGGAGGGTCGAGCTGTGCCCCCCCCCCCACCCCAGGCCCTGCCTGGACTACAGCCGGCCTGGCTGCGCTCACACTGCCCTGGTGTCTCCCAGGCCACACCTTGCAGGAGCTCGGGCATGTTCTGCCGCCACCCTGGCACACCGGCCTCACTGTCCTTGAAGCCATCGCATGCAGCTATCACACCTGTTTTCCTTTGAGATCCTTGCTCTCCTGGCTCCAGCAGTCCACAGTGGCATCAGTCATGCCAGGCAATCAAAGGACTTAGAGTGGGGAGACGGTTGTAATCAGAGAAGAGAAGAATAATTGCAACTGATAAGGGATCGGGTCTAAAACCCGATGACAACCTGTGAGGTCTGTGCAGTCTCCAGAGCTGCTGTGCTTGAGTCTCTTCGTTTCTGTTCCGTCTGCCTGTCCCCAGCTTGCTGACATCAGAGGGTCTTACTCAGTTTTGTTGTTCAATTTTGTTTAATTATTAATTTTACCATAGCATTTTATTTATTTCAATTACTTACGGGTTAAGTGGTATTTGTGGGTTAATTTTGAACATCAAAATGAATTCTAATAGTGTTTCTATGTAAATGCCACATAATCAGCTTATAAACAAAGTTTTTAAATGTAAGTCATTTATAATTTGGATGGTTATTGAGAATATGTTGAAGGCAGTTAGTTTTATTTGATTTTTTTTTTCAATCCACCAGAGGGTATTTTTCCATTTATCTTCAGAGTAGGCGGGAGGGAGGGAGAGAGAGAGAGAAACACTGACGTGAGACACATCTACTGGTTGCCTCCCGCACGCCGCCAGGGACCAAACTGCAGCTCAGGTACATGCCCTTGACTGGAATCAGACCTGCGACTCTGGTCTGTGGGCTGATGCTCTGACTAATCACTAAGCCAAACCAGCCAGGCTTTATTTGAAATTTCAAAATGTTTTTACTCTAAAGGATGGACTGTTCCTGGAGCTGATTGTAAATGAACTTGTTACTTGCATTTGGGGAGGGAGCGCAGATGTTCACTCTTGACACAGCTTAGCCGGTGGTGGTCTTAGTGTCCGGGACTGAGGGGATACAGAACTAGGCCGTCAGCACCCTATTTTCTTTCAGTCTTAAGAAGCATTAAATGTTTACTGTGGCTGCTTTTTTTTGTTTTTTGTTTTTTTATTGGAAGTGAATTTTTATCTTAAAAATCTTTTTTGGTTGTTCACCATGCCAGTTGGTGTATGTGGTGTTACATGCAAACGCCTGTGTCACTTGAAAATGGGTCTTGTGCTCCAGGTACTATGAAACTGTGTCCGACGTGCTGCACTCGGTGAAGAAGATGGAGGAGAGCCTGAAAAGGCTGAAACAAGCCCGGAAAACCGCCTCTGCCACCCCCAGTGGGTCCAGTGGCGGAGGCATGAGTGACGACGACAAAATCAGGCTGCAGCTGGCCTTGGACGTGGAGTACTTGGGGGAGCAGGTAACTGCCCGCCGTCATCAGTCCCAGGGACACAACGATTCTGAGGGTCACCTGGTGGTGCACATGAGCCCAGAGACGCCCCTGAGGAGCCCGGGAAGGCTGTTTTCTCAGGCTAGCAAAAGGGGTCAGGGCCCCAAAATACTTGAGGTCAAATATCTGCACGTAGGAACTAGAAGAAAGAAAAGATAGAAAAATACTGAAAATTGGATTTTGAAGTCCAGCGGGTTGATCTTTTGTGCAGTTGGCATCTGCGTGGTCACCAGCGTGCGTGTCCACGAGGCCCACGGTGGCGCCCACAGGATCGCGTCCTCCTGGGCCGCCGCCTGGAAGTGGCTGGTGTCGTCAGTGCAGAGCACGGTCTGAAACAGTCCGTTTGGCTTAGAACCCAGGGGGCGTTACGCACTGGTTTTGCAGTGCGGTGCTGGAGAAACCAGCTGAGACAGCGCCCTGTGGGTTTTTGTGGAACAGATTTTACAGTCATAGCGCACGGATGAATACTGATGAGCATGTTACCACTTACGTGCAGGGCCTTCCATTCTGAGTCAGAGGTGACTTCCTTGAGTATGACAAAACTTTTAGATGCTCAGAAAGTGACTCTTACACTGTTCAGGTTTTCTTTGTAAGGATCCTCCTGGAATACCTTTGCTAGAGAAAAAGGAGTGGAATGGGAACAGTTCCATCAGAAGATGCTTGGTTTTCTAGCTTGCTAAGAAACTTCTTTTAGCCCTGGTTGGTGTGGCTCAGTGGTTAGAGTGTCTTCCCACTCACCAAAGGGTCACGGGATAGACTCTTACAGATCTTGTCGTGCGTGTGTGTGTATATGTGTTTGTTATTAAACTAAAGTGGGAACACGGTGTGCCTTCTCTCCATTACCAAAAGAATTCACAGTAGTTGCTATGCCAAAGTATTTCAATTAATCAGATTCTAAGAAAAGGTTGTTGATATGTTCAGAAATTAAGACAGGCCAACCCTTTTTTTAGAATACTCCACTTAAAAAATAGTTCACTTTGTTGTTATTTTTTAAGTGTGAATTTCCTTGACCAGTCCACAAAAGAGGCTCTTATCCTGTCAGATTCTGAGGTGATGGATTGAGGTAAATTAACACACAGGCTTCTCAGAATGCCAAATGTTTGACCCCAAAAAGTAAAGGTTTATAATAAACACATCCTTTGCTCTAAAAGGAAAAAATATTCTGCCATTCTTCAGGGAACTGCCTTTTTTTTTTTTTTTAGTAGAGGGTGGGTGAATATTTTCTTCTATTTTTTATAAGGGTCTTTTTTTCACTTTCTGTTTAAATCACAGTAACTTAATTCATTCTCGTGGCCTTTGCAGATACAAAAGCTGGGCCTGCAGACAAAGGACATAAAGAGCTTCCCGGCTCTCGCAGAGCTTGTTGCTGCTGCCAAGGACCAGGCTACAGCAGAGCAGCCGTAGGCACCCTGGGGAGCCCGAGGGGCCTGGGCCTGGGCCTGGGGAGACAGTGGCTCCGCTCTCCCGGCGCCGGACCTCGAGCAAAGTGCTTCCCCGGACCTCCGGCCGCGCACCATGCCGCCGCCCAGCACGTTTGGGTCTTCTTTCACCCAAAATGGAACACTAAAGCCTTTTCCGTTATATGGAAGATAGTTTTTAAGACATTCGAAACTTTCTACTATAGTTTACAGAGCAAATTATTTTATTTTTATTGTAAATCTTAGTGAGGAAGAGCTGATTTCTAAAATATGAGTAAAGTGAGTATATATGTGCGAACAGAAAGGTTCTCCCTGGCGCTGCAGGGGACGCGGTGACTGACCAGCTGCGGAGGCGCCCTGCTCCCACGCTGCGCGTCCGCGGGCTCAGCGAGGCCGGAAGGTGCTGGTTCCCGTCCGCCCACCGGGCGTTCAGGGGCGGTGCTTCCGATCGTTCTCTTCGCCCAGACTGTCAGGAGCTGGACCAGTCGGAGGGTTTATTTTCTAAATAAAAGAAGTGTCTGCCAAGAACGTGCGTGCCTTTTCTTTGTGAATTCAGCACACGGAGTACTCACTCATGCCCTGCGATGGCTCTTTCTTTCTGGATCAAGGCCTGTCTCTTGCACCTGTTGGGAGGGTCCTGTCCATGCTAGAAGCTCCCTTTAGACACGTGGGAGTTGGTCCATGGACGGGACAAACGTCCCACCTGCAGAAGCCAGCAGCTGCCATCCCTCTGGATGCTAATCCTGGGTGTGGGGGGCAGACGAGTTGGGAATGTGGAGAAGGGGTATCCAGAGCATGTGGTCGGCTCACTAATCCTCACCCTACACACCTGCATACTTACACCCCACACACCTGCACACTTTGCTTAGCGGTGGCATCTACCCTTCAGCATGACGGTGACAGACACTGTGCCTGTTCCAGCTTTGCAGTTCTTTGTCTCCGCCTCCTCTGTTCAGAGGTTAGCTGTGGGAGACAAGGGAAAGGAGTAGGGACAGGATTCAAGCCGATCTGGGAGTTCGCAGGGATTTTCTTTTTAGCACAGTGATGAGGCCAAGCTAGAGCAAGGAGAGGAAGCCTGGGAGACAGACCCTGGTGAGACCGCAGGGCAGCAGTGTGGGCACCAGAAGCTTCCACGGTCCCCTCCTCCCGCTTTGTCCACATGACGGACCTTTCTCGGTTGCTGTGGACGGTGTATGCTCTGGTCCTAGTGGAGGCCCTGCCCTGGACTGATAGGTTGTCTGACTGCAGTTAGTGTTAGGAAGTTGGGTCAGAGGAACAGAACCATGTGAGGGGGAAGGCAGGAAGGGGTGTGACGAGGGTTTGACTCGCTCAGCGGGGGAGCTGGCTCATGTCTGCCTGGCTGTGCTGCTTTGTCGGGAAGGAAGGCTGGACCGACTGCAGGCACGGAGTGGAGCTCACAGAAGTTGCTCTTTGAGGCTGTGCACACACCCGGCCCAGCACGAGAGGAAGCTGAAGGAGGAGCTCTGGTCGAGGCCTTACTGCCCCATGTCACCAGGTGACCTGGGACCTTCCCCCGCCTGCAGGTGTGAGCGAGCCGTCCTTCACCTTCGGAATCTCGCAGGTTCTCTGGCCAACGGGAACCTTGAACAAGCCTGGAGGGAGTCGGGAGCATAGGCCCCTCTGGCCAGGTGACCGGCGCAGATCTGCCTCAGCAGCCACCTGGCCGAGCCCAGCACAGCCAAGAGCAGACCGAGTTTGTCCCGTGTCCGTGGCCGCTCAGCCTTTCTCGTGTGTTTCACCACTCGAGGAGAGGATGTGATTTATCAGCCCTCTTTCTCGCCACTGTTATCCCCATTTTGTAGATGAGGAAACTGACAAATTTAGGAGTGGAGGTAACTAATTAGCGGAATTAAACCCAGACGATAGTTCCAGAGCCAGTCTGTCCGCCCAGGGGGCTCTCCCTCCCCGATGTGAGCGCTGGAACCGATGATCCGGGATTGAGGCCCAAGCTGTCGATGTCTGACTCCTGTCAGGCCCCAGGCTCAGACTTGATTCAGTGACACCACAGTTCCAAGCTTGTTTGATGACAGCAACATCCTTAATGCCACAGTGTCTGTTTTTAGGCTTAAGAAACAAGGATCTTTAGTTTAAAATCAAAACATTCTAGTCCTGGCTGGTGTGGCCCAGTGGTTGGAGTGTTGGTCCACAGACTGAAGGGTCATGGGTTTGATTCCCCGTCAAGGGCACGTGTCTGGTTTGCAGGTTCAATTCCCGGCCTGTCAGGGCACATGTGGGAGGCAACCAATTGCTCTCACATTGATGTTTCTTCCTCTCCCTCTCCCTCCCTCCCTCCCACTCACTAAAAATCAATGGGAAAATATCCTCTTTTCCCCCATGTGTGTAATTAGTTAAGCTTTAGAGAATTGTAATTGAATAAAGTTTAAAGATAAAGGAATACATTTTTACTCTAAAACTAATTTAAAAAAACTTTTTAGCACCTGGAATCAAAAAGAGGGTTCAAGCACAGAGTTCATGTTTGTGGGCGTCTGTGCTGGAGCAGGGAACGAGGAGGGGTGTGCCTGCTGCATTTCAGACTTTGGGAAGGTGACGTGGTCTCTGTCCTGTGCGTCGTGTGACATCGCCGGGGTCTCTGGAACAGCACCTGGTGTCGGATTACACAAGGCTTGGTGCCCCCGAATTAGAACTCTTCGCACCACGAGCGTCTAGAATGCAAAGATTTGAGAGCCTCACATCTGTTCAGATTCACTTTTGCTGCCAAACGAGAAACAAATAAAAATCTCTTGGTTTTCTAAACTCAGTCAAGGATGTGGGAGCTGATGACGCCTCGGTGGGCTGTAGGAGCCTCCTCGGCCACCGTGGCTCCGGTCCCGTGGCCCAGAGGCTCGGACGGAGGTGTTTGCAGCTGCTGAGTAATTGCCTGGGCTACCGGATGCACACTTTCACCCAGGAAGACTTAGAATGCAGCGAGGAGATGTTCAAGAAAAACAAAGCCGTCGAGTTCATGTTCTCGTGTTATGTAATCTGTGAAATATTGGTATTTTGTATCCTTGTAACGTCCTGACCCAAATCGGGTTGGCAACGTTTTACTCCTGGCAACTGCCAAAGCCAAGCAGCCTGCTGAGTAGAGCAAACGGTTAGTTCAAAACAATGTTCTCTCCCCCTGGCTGCACCGGCCATGCTATCTCGTCACCACGGGCGACTTCAGGATGACATTACAGGGGTGACTCGGGCTCCTGCTGCGTCCCCACAAAGCCGGGCACTCACCTGGCGCCTCCGAAGGTGCAGCACCAAGAGTGAACCGCAGTGTACAGGATGAGCTCTGGGCGGATGTCCCCTGACCCCACATACACACAGCCTCCCCATTACCAACCCCCCTCACCAGAGCGGGACACCTGTGACAGTTGATGAACCTACACCGATGTGTCGTCATCACTCATCACCCGAGTATTTGTTGGCTGAAGTATATATGCCGGGGGTTGGGAGAGCAGCTCTGAATCTGGTCGGCAACCCCTATCTGGACCTTGCTTGTTCGCAGCTGTAGGAATTACAGAAGAAACTGTAGCTCCGAGGGCGCATCGCCTTCTCTCCCGTTTCCTGCAGCACCTCGCCTTGTTCCTCTAGGTCTTCCGTTCTCCCTCTGCCTCCGTCTTACAAGGAACACGTGATTGCACCCAGAGAACCAGACCCTGTCCTCTCCTCGGGGTCTCTCATCTAGTCCCATCTGCAAAGCCCTGTGCCGTGTAAGGTCACAGTCTCAGGCTCCAGGCTCCCGCCGTGGCCCACAGGTAAACACCTCTGTTTCTGCTGTACTTTTGAAACTGGGCTTCTAGACAGTGGAGGTCACGATCCTGTTATGGACTGTGTGCCCTGGGGTGGTTACTGTACTTCTCATGTGTTCATTCAAGTGCTTCTCATTCTATAAATAAGGGGGTGAGAGGTGGAGTACCTACCCTGGGTCCCACAGCAGCAGGTGTCGGCCCCGGGCTGCCTGCCAGCCTGTCCATCTCCAGCACCTGCCCGTGTACTAGCACAGCTGAGCTCAACCCTTGTCAGACCCGGTCACACCCACAGTGGCGAGAAGGACCAGCTGTCCCCTTGACGCCAAAGCCAGGGACATGCGTTCTAGTCTAGGGGATGCTTGGGAATGTGAGGAGACAGCTGAGATTTGGAGGATGTCATTGCTGTTCTGTGTGAGCGCTCTGATGGAGCTCAGTCCCTTGGAGGTGGCTCTGATGGCCGGCAGAGGGGCGGGCAAGCCTGGGTATGAGCTCAGGGCAGTCCTGTACAAGCAGAATACGACCCTTCACCCAAGCCGATGAAACCACGTACAGGAAATCACTTAGTGGGCTCTGAAACCGGCCATCCCCACTCCCACCCAGGGCTTCCCAGCCCGTCCCTGTTGTCATGGGCTCCTGGCTCTCAGCGGGAGCTGCAGTATCAGCTGCCCACCAGTTATTCAGCATTTATGGAAGGGAGGAAGAAAGTGCTCCCGTACCTCGGCCTGCTGGGTGCTCACCCTTCCTCAGGCCTTGCTCAAGATTTAGCAGGTGGGGCCTAATCCCACCGAGGAGTACGGGCAGGGACACCACAGAGAGAGATGTACAACGGCAAAGGTCTCTCTGTCCTCTGCTCCCCACGGTGAGTGACCCTGTGTCCCAGGAATGAAGAGGCACCCGTCTGCCCTGTTCCTTCCCAGCTGCATGGGGGTGCGGGGACCCCCACAGGCCACCTGTCGGTCACTGCCACTTAGTAGGTAGGGCCCAGAAAAACAACACCTTCTACTTCTTCAAATGATGGCTAAGTACCAGCTTGTGCCTCCCATGGAGATGCCATCCAAAACGTGGCTCAGAGTCCAGAAATCACTGTGTCTGTCTGTCTGTCTGCTAAGTGGCGTGGACTTGTTGTGCTAAGTGAAAGACAGACTTTTTTCTTTTCTGCTTATTGTTGTAAGACATTTATTAATAACACAGGATAGTCAGCCATGATGTTACACTCTAACATACATTCGGATGCTTGTGTTTTTCAAAAGTCACAAGTATCATGGGAAAGGAAAACTGAGAAACCAAGAAAAACTCAGGCGTCAGGGCGACTGCACGCAGGTCACGGGCTCACATTCAATACGCCACATAAGACCCAGGACAGCGAGAAATGCATGTTTTAATTTTAAAGCCCAATTTCTGTTTCCAACGGAAAAGGAAACAGTGATAGGTTTCACAAACACGTTGGTCTGTGCAAACTGCCCCAGAACAGCTGTCCTGTGCCGAGTGCTGGTTCTCAGCTCCCCGCTCCCGAGAGAAACGTGCGACCCCCGGGCCGGCTGCTCCTGTACACGGCCCGTGCTGACCAAGGACAGGGGCTCCCTCCAGCTCCAAGCGCAGGTGGAAGACAGTGGTGACAGGTTAGTGTGGCTGTGCGGTGCCGCCCTGGCCCACGCTGGAGCCGCGTCCGTGGCAGGCCGGCCTCACAGCGCGCTCAGCGGGTTGGCCACGCGGCCCAGGAAGTGGAGGGCCGTGGACTCCTGATCGTAGACGGCAAACAGGAACGGGCGGTTCAGGGTCACGTCCAGGGCCTCAGGTCCCGCCGGCTGCTGGACAGACTCTGGGGGCTGCGCTCCCTTGTCTGCTTTCACTTCAAACAGGACGCTGTTCAGCACCTGCAAAGCAGCAAGTGCAGGGTCGCTCCTGCCAGCCCCCCGGCCCAAGGTGGCGCTGCAGAGCTGCCCGCAGGGGACGTCCGCCTGTCTGGGGGTGCATGGTGCCTGCACACCCTCAGGGACTCCCTCAGTGCACCTGATGGCCCCTCCCCACAGTGTCCCTCGGACCCCGTCTCCACCTCCCACCTCGCTGTCTGGGAGGAAGCCCTGCCCCTCCGTACCCACCGGTGCTTGGGTGATCCTGCTCACTCAGCACAGAGGGCCCCTGCCCCCAGCAGTGGTCTCTGAGGCCAGGACTGGGAGCGGCCCTATTTCTCCCCAGCACGAGCGTGGTGCCCAGAGCACGCAGGCCCCTCCCATTGCTGAGGGGCAGTGTCCCGTGGCAGCCGGACAGTCCACTGTGGGGCGTTTCCCTGAAGCCAGGAGGTGCCTGACAGGGCCGGACCCGGGCTTGGGGACACTTACTCTCCTAGTCCCCACCCTGCTGTCGGAGTGGGGAGGACCCCAGGTTAGGCCAGGCTGGGCAGAGCCACAAGCCCGGGGTGGAGAGGGGTTGCTGCTCCCCACCTGTCTCTGGAAGGCCCCAGAAACCTCTCCCACCCTGGGCACAGACCCACATGGCCATGCTTTCGTCCCTCTCCTGCCCTACCCCCTTCCAGAAGCTTCCTCTGTGAACCTTCCACATGCACCTCCCACCCTGGGAACCAACAGACCCGCCAGGCAGGGGCCGCACGGTACCTGTCCGACTCTGAGGTCGGCATCACTGATTTTGCCCAGGTTTGCCTTGGGCCCCAGCAGGCCGGGCAGCTTGGCCTGGGCGAGCAGGTCCTGCAGGTCGTAGGACCCTCGCAGCACCAGCTGGGGCAGGGTCAGGCGGATGGCCCTGCAGAGATGACCCACAGTTAGGATGGCCGCAGGGGGCCCCGCTGTGAGACCTGGGCCACACAGAGAGGGCCGGCAGAAGACCCGGGAAGCCAGCTGGTGTGTGTGCCGGCTGAGGGGGCGTTTGCCCCTCACCCAGCCAGCTTGTCTTGGAAGTTTTTCGGCATCACATTTCATGTCCTTTGAAACGGTGAGGAGGACACACAACATTTAACAGCGGTCATCTGAGTCGCCTGTTCTGTTGTGGGTGGGCTGCGTGAACGTGCATGACTTGGATCATTTAAAATGCTACTCTCGCCCGGCTGGTGTGGCTCAGGGCTTGAGCGTCAACCCAGGCACCAAGAGGTTGGCGGTTCCATTCCTGATCAGGACACGTGCCCAGGTTGCAGGCTCAGTCCCCTGTGGGGCATGCAGGAGGCAGCTAATCGATGGTCTCTCTCATCAATGTTTCTATCTCTCTCTCTCAAAAAAAAACAAAACACTTTAGAAATAAAAAAAATAAAAATGCTATTCTCAGAAATCATGCATGGGCTCTGATGAGCCACCTTTCATTGGTGTTCTTGACGCAGAGACCTCACGGAGGGAGGGAAGCAGGGGCGTGTGCAGGGTCGGCCCCTGTGCTCCCGGGGCCCCGCCTCCCTCAGCATCCCCGGGGCCCCCGTGTGTCCAGTGCCACAGACTCTGGTTGCAGCTGATCGTGCAGCCGTGGCCGTGGCACATCGCTCACAGTGGCCGAAAGATGGAGGGGCCCGAGTGTCCACTGAAGGACAAATGGACAAGCACATTGCGGTCTGTAAGTACAATGGAACATCCCCGGCCACTACGTGGGTGAACCTGGAGGACGTGATGCTGAGTGACATGAGCTGGACACAAAGGGACAGGTACCATACGTTCCACTCGGATGAGGCGCCTGGAGGGGTCAAGTTCGCAGAGACAAAGTGGAAGGGTGGCTGCCGGGCTGGGGGAGGGGTGGGGAGTCCGTGTTTAACGGGGACAGAGTTTCGGTTTGGAAGATGGAAAGACTGGAGATGGAGATGGAGATGGTTGTACCACAATGTGAACGTACTTAATGCCGCTGAACTGTACACTTAGAAATGACTGAAGTGCTAAATTATATGTTATGCGTTTAACACCATAAAAAAATGACTTTAAAACAATAATTGACCTGAGGAGGCCACCTGTGCCCCTTAACGCAGACGTCTGGGCCTTTGCCCAGGGCCTGGCATGTGGCCGAGTCTGCTGCCTTCTCATCACCGTCGGGAAGAGGACAAACCACCTGAGCAGCGACCCGGGGGGTTCCAGACTCAAGGGCAGCTCCCCAAGAAAGGCCCCGCCAGGTCTCTCAGGGGTTCCAAACCCTCCTGGGAAGTCGGCCCCCAGGAAGCTCCAGAACCCAGCGGACGGCGCGTGCGTCTGGGTTGGCGCCAGGAAGGTCCCCGCTCAGAGCGCGCGTTGAGTTCCGCTCCGACCCACCGAACGGGTAAACGTAAGCCCAGGGGAATCACCTCTCCTGCCCCCAGAAGACGGCACATCAACCCATCGAGCACCGATCAATGCACAATGGGGAGACGAGGGGTCTGCGGGCCGGTGGGGAGACGCGGTGGGGCGCAGGCCTCCCACTCCGGGGCAGCAGAGGGTGCCACGGCCTGTCCCTGCTCCGTGCCAGGGCCCGGTCAACACCACGCCCTGGGCAGAAGGACCGACACGGCCCCACCCTCCAGGGAGAGCAGACGGGAGCTTCCGGGCAGGTGCCTGTGCCTTACCGGGGAGACAGGTTCTTGGTCCACCTCAGGAAGTCATGCTGGAAGGTCAGGGCCTCCACCTCCCGCAGGGCCGAGGCACAGTGGGGCTGAATCAGCAGCAGGTTGACATTCTCGCTGAGGGGCACCCGCGTCACGGAGAGGTTGCTCTGGGCGTCGCTCCAGTACTGGAAGGTACCCGTGCTCGAGAGCATGGGGACGGACACGGAGGTGGTGTTGTCCACCCAGAACTCCTGGAGCCCCGGCAGCAGGGAGAACCCCTTCATCTGTCCTGGAGACACAGGGAGAGTCAGCCGGGCCAGGCAGCTGTGTGGGTGCCGGGAGGAGCGGGGCTGGGCTGGGCAGGCCTAGGCCGTCAGACCCCAAAGGCCTGGCTCCTGCCCACCCTGCCCAGCACACCCCGGGCCACTGCTTTTACCCCAAAGGCCCGTCGGGTCCCGTCCCCCTCCTGTGAAATCCAGCCACTGTGAGCTCACTCGGGACCGTGTGACGACACAGTACAGCCGGGCCCCAGACTGCACGCCTCACCTTCCAGGGGCTAAGGAACCTACCCCCTAGTAATGGGGAAACGGCCCAGGTCCGTCCTGGCCCGAAGCCTGTGGTCCAGCATGCTGACCCTGTTTCGTTTTGTTTTTAAATCAAGGTGACTTTTTAGGGCAGTTTTAGGTCCACGGAAAAGGTAAGAGGCGGGCACAGGGCTTTTCCGTGCACCGGCTGCCCCTGCTCGTGGTCGGCCTCACGCTCAGCAGCCCCAGCCCTGCTGGGCCCACAGGGACATGTCCGTGGCTGACATTAGGGTTCGCTCGAGATCTGTGCACTCCACAGGTCTGGACAGGTGTGCGGTGACACGTGTCCACCATGGTAGTGTCACACAGGGTCGTGTCACTGCCCAAACATCCTTGGTGCACGCTCATGGGACAATCTGGGCACAGCGCCTGGTGTCCTCCACGGTCCTCTGGGGAATAAAGGCTGCATTTCTCAGAACCCTCCCCTCCCCTGCGGCCGGGCCGGCTCCGCTGTGCCCAGTGACCTGCGTGGTGGGCTGCGTGTGCCCCGGCGATGGGCCTGGAGGGCTGCGCCCTCGGCACCCACCAGCGCAGGCTGGTGCAGGCGGTCGTGGAGCGAGCTGTCAGCAACCCCGGCTGAAGGCACTCGCTTGGGGTCTCTTCACGACAGGCCAGCGCTCCAGCTCCCCCTGACGTCCCCCTGGTGCCACCCCCCCCCCTGCAGCCCTCTCACTTGCCCCGAAAGGCCCATTTTTGGTGTTTCTGGGAAGAAAAGAGAAGTTGAGAGAGTCATCACTGAGCGGCCCTGGGCTCCTGGGTGGGGGGCGGACACGTAAAAGAGGTAAAGGGGGGAAAGTGGTGACAGAGGAGACCTGACCTGGGGTGAACACAGTACAGGAGCCAGATGATGTCGCCCCTGATGTACACCCGAAACCTCTGGCTTAGAGGGAAAAGGATTAGTTTTTCCACCAACAAGCTAAAACAAACAGACGCTGGAATCTGAACCAGGGGGCTGCCCTCTCCTGTCTGCTCATCCGAAAAGCACCGTCCGTCCAGAGGTTAAGTAAATCTCTCAAGGTTAAGTCAACGGATGTCCTGGACCCTCCAGGGCCAGCACCTGGGCTCGTGGCGAGGCGAGTGGTGGGCAAAGGGTAGCGGGGCTCCCGGGCCCCCAAACTCCCCGTCCTGGCTGGTCAGACACGTGCGACCGTGCGCTGGGGTGGTCATCGCGGGACATCACTGCGAAGGGGACTCAGAGTTCCCGACGCAGCCGCTTGTTCCATAATGGACACGCTGTGGCGGGCAGGAAGGGGCTGTGCATTCCCATTTGCTGGAAACAGGCAGGGAAAGCTGAGGGCGGAGATCAGAGGGCTGGACCACGGCCGGCTGGGCAGGGCCTGGGCACCAAGACCGCTGTGTCCTGAGCATGGTAGCCTTTTCCCGAGTCCCCCGTCTTCCTCTCGGGCCTTCCTGTGCAGCTCTACCCTGTGGGATCGCGTGACAGGCCCCCTTTCTGACACCAGTGGCTCCCTGGCTTTGCTTTTTGGGGGGCACAACTTTCTCAGCGAGCTGTCCTCCCAGGGGCCCTCCTAGGGATGGCACGCCAGCCCATGGCCCCTCCCCCCCACCGTGTGGCTGCCCTCGGCTGGATGGCCCCTGCGCTGGACTCTGCTCCCACGGCCTGAGAGCTGGGACCGAGCAGTCGGTCTGTCTGGCCCATCCCGCTCTCAAGGACGGCTGGAGGTCCTTCCCTGTGGGGTTCAGACTTCCTGCGTGCCACCAGGGCGAGGAAGTGGCTGTGAGCTCTGTGTCTCTCTCCACAGCTCTGCCTTCGCTGCTGGCTTCTTGGCTCCCTGGCCCCCGCGAGGTTGCTCGTCTGGATCGAACCTCATCACTGTGCCTCCAAGGCAGCCCCCCCCCCCAGCGCACCGCCACTCACAGACACCGCCTGTGTGTTCCCGGCAGAGTTCGCCTGGACTGTTGCAAAACCTCCCAAGGACCCTCCCGTCTGCAGTGCACACAGCACAGGCCGTCGGGATGACCTCTGGGCGGAATGTTTGCCCACTCGGACTCCTGCCACCAGACTCCAGCTTTCCCAGCAGCACATGCAAAGTCTCAAAATGCGGTGCCCACCCATCTTCCCAGCCCTGCCTTCCACTGGCCCCCGGCTCTCATCCCAACATCCTCACCCTGAAGTTGGCCGCCTTTGCTCACAGGGTTCTCTTCCCCGAAGTCCTGCTCCCATCGTCACCCCTGGGCCTTCCATCCACTCCCCAGTGACCCCCGCCTCCGGGTGCTCTGAGCTCCCAGACCACCTTCGTGGAGGATTTTACCTGCAGCTTTGAGGCCGAGGCATCTTCCCCCAGGCTCAGTCTCCCCCACTGAACTTGAACAACCTGGGGTGGGGCCCATGGTCCTTCCTACTTACCCCTCCCACACGCCCAGCTCGACACCTTGCAGGCAGTAAGTTCTCGGTGAGTATTTGTTGAATGAATGAACAACCTGTTATAATGGGGGTTGCCTGGCAATCACCTTCCCAGCACGAAAGTGATTTAAGCAAACGAACTGGTGATTTTTACATGGGATCGTGCCATCTTCAAGAGACAGGAGCCCTCAGCCTTCTCGAGAGACAGAAACTCAGCCCTCTGAGCAGGGAGCCATGCCGTGGGCGTCAGGCCTGGGTTTGGGTCCCGGGTCCCTGGCTTGTGGCTGGGCCATCGTGAGCAAGTCCCTTTGTTTCTCTGCGTCTATTTCTTCACTAGCCGCACCTCTTCACTGCACCCGGAGTTAGGATGGGGCGACAGGGTGCAGTGTAGTCGCTGCAGAGATGGGCAGCACTGGGAGGCAGATGCCCACCCGACACTCATCCCCGGAGCCCAGGGGGACAGCCACGCCATCCTCCTTGAGGGTGGCCCCCGGGTACTTTGCCGTGTCTGCCACCCTGCCCTCCCCCGAGGCCAGGCCCTGCTTGGCTGAAACGTCAGACATTAGGGCCACAAGACAGAGAACTGCCACCTCTGACACCAGCCTGGGGCAGTCTGCCCGGAGGCCTCGCCTCACCTTGGAAGTGGACGTAGGCGTTGAAGAGCAGCGTGCTGTCTGGGCTGACCCCCGTCAGGGGGCTGCTCATTTTCCACCCGGTCACGGCCTGCATGAACCTGTTGATCTTCTCAGCAGCGAGCTCTGGGTCGGTGGACAGGTCTAGGGAGCGCGGGAGGGTGACGGGGGCGAAGGGAGCAAGGCCCTGCACAAAAGGCTGCTTCAGGCTCAGGCCAGGCGCTGTGAACAGGCCCAGCACCGTGGACAGGAGCAGCCGGGGCTGCCCGCCAGCCCCGCCCTGCAAGGCCAGCAGGCCCTGGATGGTCTGCAGGGTAGAGAGGACCTTGTGACCGTCCAGCCGCGAGGTGCAGCTCTGCTCCTCGTCCCCGGGGACACCCAGGAACACCTGCAGACTATTGGCTGTGGGGTCCAAGGCCCCCAGGTAGAAGGAGGCCAGGGTGCCAAAGAGAGCCGTTGGGGAGAGGACAGCCCCACCGGCCGTGGTTTGCGTCTCACTCAGCGTCTTGTACATGCGGAAGCCCATGACGTTGAGTAGCCCCCCCACCATGGCCACCCTCTTCCTGTCTTCATCCTTGAGCTTCTGGGCGGCCAGCACCAGCTGCTCCCGCAGGGCCTCCTCATCCACTGGGGACGTCTTGGCCTGAATGGGCACAGGTGTGAAGGTGGGGTCTTGGGGCGTCTCCGCATTAGGCTCCTTCAGCGCATCGCAGCTGCTCTTGCTGTAGGCGAGGAGGTGGAAGGGGTGGATGTAGACCCGGTCCGCAGCGGGCAGGCCGGCCCAGGCCGAGAGACAAAGCACGGTGGCCCAGAGGCTCACTCCTGCAGGGCTCATCTCTGATGCACGTTTGCTTCCGTGGAACCTGAAATAGTTCGCGAAGGGTGGAAGGTGACCATCGAATGCCTGCTAGCCAGATTCGTTCCTCTACCCCCGCAGCCCTCAGCCTAGAGAAATCTATCCACGTCTGCAAATGTCAGCGAGTGGGAACAGATTCAAAGTGCACAGAAAACGTCTGTGCGATCCAGGTGCAGAAAACCCAGTCACGGGCTGAGGCTGCTTTTGTAGGGTTTATTGGGGTTGGTTTTGTTTCATGTTTTGCTGCATTTTTATAATGGTGGGCGTATACAAATAAAAGGTGGTCTCCTCAGGGGAAACCTGTGGACTGAGTGCTGGAATCCCGCAGGACACGCCCCCTCCCCACTTTGCACTTGTGAACGGAGCAAGTGAAGTGATTTCAAGGATCATTTTCAAGGCAGAGGCTGTTGTCTGCCCTCAGTTGTGATGGGCACTCCTACCCTGAGGGTTCTCGGGCAGCAGGGGGTCCAGGCCCTGTGGGTGCTCCTGACGCCCACTCCCTGTGGGTCTTTCCTCCCTACCCCCTTCTTGGTCGCCCTCTTCACCAGCCCCTCCTTCCCGGTGTCCCCACTCCTGGTGGCCCTGTGGCCCAGCGATGTCGGTGAGGGTAGCAGCCAACACTTACACGATGCTTGTCACCGCCAGGCACGCACCAGGCTTTTCCTACACCACCTCCTCCACTTCACGACGGCCCCCCTCCCTGCCGAGGCGGCCTCCACGCCACGTTCCACGTTGCAACTGCCCTGCCACGCCCGGACTCGGAGCTGACGGCCCTGCTTCCCCTTCCCTGGCCTGGTCACGGGTGGCACGCGGTGCCGTTCACGCTTTGCGAGTCTGTTTACTGTGCTCGCTGTTTGCTGCTGTCTCTCCCGTGTGAACGCAAACCCCGCGAGAGCAGGGCTCTGTGTTTTCACCGGCATACACCGCATTCTCCCCAAAGCGCCTGGACTTAGTAGCCCCTTGGTAAGTAGTGGTTAAGTAAACTAATTAGTGCTGTTTTGCAGAGGAACACAGAGGTTCAGGGATGGTTCAAGGTCATGAAGCCAGCAAGAGACAGAACCAGGATTCAAACCCAGACCCCTTGAAGTTGCAATCCACGCACACAAGCACCAATCCATACGTCCTCTTGAACAAAATAATAAGCATTTGCTTTTTTAGTTTATCCAAAAGTTTAGAAAGCACTTTCATGTTCTATTGCTCTTAATGGACAAGGGAGGCCAGGCATTGCCCTTTGTCCCATTTATAGATGAATAAACTGAGGCTCAGGGAGACAATGATGAGCTTGATGGCCCAGGCCTTGACCCCAGGACTGGAGACAGCTCTGCTCAAGGAGGGTTCGGGGGGACATGGCCCCCCTCACCTGAGCCCTGTGCAGACACAGCCCTGGGCCACCCGAGCCTGGCCCTGGCCCCCGCCAGCCCTCCTGGCTGCACAGCAAGAGCCTTGCTTCCCCTTTGGGCTGGAAGAGGACCCGGTGGACTCTTGGCCACCATGAAGCTGGTCCTGGGCCAGCCCCAGAGGACCGAGCCCTGCTCAGAGGGTGCAGGAGGGCCAGCCACCCTGCTGACTGTGAGAAGGACCAGGTCTCCTGGTAAGACCTGGGGAGGGGCGGGGGGAGGGCAAGGGGAGGACAACCCAGGTCTGGACGTCCGGCTCGATGGGAGGGGAGCAGCATTTTCTGGGTCTTTGGTGGCAATGTCCCCTGCAGCGCAGGTCACCCCGTCCCTAGGCTTCTGGCTCTTGGATGCTGTTAGCTGCTGCCTCCCCGCAGCTCTGCCCTTCCCCACAGAGCCCCTGGCCTTCTAGGTCAGCAGACAACGCAGCCGCCGGGGAGAGGGGAGGGCCTGGGGCTGGGGCTGCGGCTTAGGCTGGGGGGGGGGGCTCCCTGCTTACCTTCTGCTCAGTTCCCGAGACAGGACGAACTCTTCCTCTGGCCGGGCCATGGGGCCCTTATTTATATCTGAGGGGTGGGGATGGAGCCGTTCCCAGACTGTTCTGTGCCCAGGCTGGGGAGAGGTTACATCACCGTGGGGGTGGGGGCCTCCGGCGGCCAGGCCTGACGAGGGGACAAGGGGACGGACGCCAGAGGGACTCTCGTGCTGGGACAGCTTCCAGGAAGCTGGGCTGATCGACGCCCTCACTGCTGAACAGAAAGAGCCGGTGCGAGGTCAAGTTACACATTTACCCACGTTCACCAGAGCTGGGGCCACGGTCACCAGACACAGCAGCGTCCCATGTGGGTGTGTGAAGTGTCTGCCCCCGTGATGGCCGGCGACAGCCACCAAGCCCTCTGACTGAGCCCCTTGGGGTGTGCTTCTGAGAGTCCCCGAGAATGTGCCTGCTCGGGCAGCCTGGGGTGACCTCTGGTCCCACCGCCTTGAGTGGCTGGCCCTTGAGTGGCTACGGCCACGGGAGGCCCCTGACGGCCCTGGAGGGAGACAGACACCAAGCAAAGCACCTTCCAGAGGCTTGTGATTTAGCTGGGGAGCCGGCTGGACACTAACAATGGGACACGGGGAGAGTTCTGAGAAGTGAGAAGTTCGGGCCTGAAAGAGGTCTTTGGGGCAGGATGTCATAAAGACTTAAAGCCACTGGGCTGAGATGTCTCCACCCAAAGCATTCTTGAGCGATCATGACCAATTCTTTATTGGTCATCCAAGAACAAGAGGAGATGGCAGAGGTGAAGTTCGAGTTGGAGAGTGACCTGGAGGAAGAAGCGGGGGGGGGGGGGGGGGCAGACCGAGATGGACTGAGAGGCCAGTGGGAGGGGGAGGGGCAGATTGCATTGTGAGCTTGTGTTTAAGGAAATGTTGCAATGGAAGGAAGAAGAAGGATTAGAAAACTCTGTGTTCTCAACTCTAAGACAGAGGAAGGAAGAGTTTATATTTATTGAGCAGTTGTGCCGTGGCTGGTTTGGCTCAGCGGTTAGAGCGTCGACCTGCGGTCCAGAGAGACCCAGGTTCGGTTCCCACTAAGGGCACATACCTCGGTTGCAGTTTGTCCTCGGTTGGGTGGTGCAGGTGGCAACCACTTGATGTGTCCCTTTCACATCGATGTTTTTCTCTCTCTCTCTGCCTCCCACTCTATCTGAACAAAAAATGAAAGAAATGTCCTTGGGTGAGGATAAAAAAAAATAAGTAAATAAATTAATTAATTAAAACTACCTTGAAAATTAAAAAAAAAACAACACACACACACAAAAAAGAAATTAATATTTATTGAGCAGCTGCTACATGCCAGGTGCATAAATCTTCTCACCCTGTCTGCAATATAAATTCTACTATGCCCACCTAGGGAGAGAAAACTAACTCCCAAAGAGGTTCAGCCATTTGTAAATGCCACCCAGAAAGAAATGGCAAATCCAGGGCTGTCTGACCCAACACCCACTCTGTTCCTACCATGTTCATGCATTCGTTCAACCACGATGTATCGAAAACCTACTGCATGCCAAGAACGAAATTCGGCTCGGAGGTGACAGCTGAGCACAGATCAGGTGCAGTCCCCACCCTCAAGAAGCCCCCAGTTTTGCCAGGTGTCAGAATTACTCAATTATCGCACAAATCATGATTTCTTTGCAGGTGGGATAAATGTTAGAAAGAAAAGCATCCGTGAGGGACCTGAGTCTGTGACAGGAGCGTGGTCCAGCCTGGAGGTCAGAAGGCCGCCTGGAGGAAGGAGCAGGCAGGGCAAGGCCTGGAGGATGGGGCAGTGGCCCGGGAGCAGTACCAGGGGGCCAGGGCCAGCCTGACCGTGTCTGTGGTCCCGCCCACCTCTCAGTCCACGGGCACCACACTGCTCCACGCAGATGAGTCTGGGGCTGGGCTTCCCCTCCATCTTTCCTTCTCTGTGGAGGCCACCACCCACTCTGGGAGACCAGGGGCACCCTCCAGCCCCAAGACTCCATCCCCTAATTGCCTGACCCTGCGCCGAGGGAAAGGCCAGCCAGGGGGTGTCTTGGCTGAGAAAGGCGCCCTCTCCCCTGGAGCCTGCCAGGCAGCCCGGTTCTCCTCGGCGCTTGGTGTGTGCCTTGCAGATTCGAGCGAGATGTGCTTGTTGATATGGAATCGAGCGTAAATCCGATCACGTCTGAGCCCAGGTCTCCGAAGGACTGCAAAGCAAGCCACACTGCACTCTGAACCAGTGAGGTTTAGGGGAGGCCCTGAGCCCCACATATGTATGCCCAGGCCTCACCGTACTATCCAAACGGCCCAGCAAGAGTGGGTAACCAAGGCGTGAAGAACTGATCACGGGGCCACAGAACTAGAGGAAGCCTCGCTGCAGTACACCTGGGGTCACACATCCATGCTCCAGAGCGCCTTCCTCTGGACCTGGGAGGTGATGGGTGCCTGGGAAATGGATGGACCTGGACAGGAGGCTGGGAACGTGGGGAGGGAGGGGGAGAGGAGACTCCTTGCAGTGTGTGTAGGGGTATAGTGTGTGATATGTGTACGTGGGTGTGTGGCGTGTGTGATGTGGAGTATGTGTGTATGTGGGGCGTGTATATGTGGCATGTGTGGGTGTGTGTGCAGTGTGTGTATATGTGTGATATGTAGTGGTGTGTGATACGTGTATGTGCTATTTGTGATGTATGTATGTGGTGTGTGGTGGTGGTGTGTGTGTGCGTGTGTGTGTATATGTGTGATATGTGGTGGTGTGTGTGTGGTATTTGTGATTTGTGATCTGTGTGATGTGTGTGGTGTATGTGTGTAGTGCGTGTGTATATGTGTGATGCATGTGTGTGGTATTTGTGATGTGTGTATGTAGTGTGTGTGGTGGTGTGTGTGTGCTGTGTGTGTGCTGTGTATGTGTGTGTGTATGTGCATGTGTACGTGTGTGTGTGGTATGAATGTGTGTGGTTGTGTATGTAGTGTGTGTGTATGTGTGTGTGGTGGTGTGTGTGCTGTGTGTGTCTATGTGGTATGTATGTGTGTGTGGTGTGCGCACATGTGTATGTGTGTGGTGGGGTGTGTGTGTGTGTGCATGTGTATGTGTGTGTGGTGTTGTGTGTATGGTGGGGTGCATGTGTGTGTGTGCATGTGTATGTGTGTGTGGTGTTCTGGTGAAGAGGGTATATTGGCTGGTATTTCCCGCCCCACAGAGTCACTTCCGTGGACACGGAGCGCCTGTGCTGGGGGCTGACCCAGATGTGTGGGCTCCCAGCCTCTCCCTCCAGTTCCTTCCTCTGTTCTCCGGGCTCTGGTCGCAGGGCCCCTGGGCCTGACCCCTTTGGCCCTCAGACCAAAGGTCCTCCACCCTCCAGCCTCTGCCATCCCCACCCCCACCGGGGCCCTACCTAGGCCGGGCACCTCTGTCTAGTCCATTATCTGTGTCCCGTGATCTGTGTCCTTCGGGAAGTCGCCTCTTCCCTGACTTCCTGCGGCCTCGAGTCCCCGTCACACCTACACATCTGCCGTCTGTTTGGAGCAGCTTCTCAGGGGTCACAGTGCAGGTCAGAGTTCACGCTAATGGGCCGACCTGTCTTGGTAATGACATGGAGTTGGGAAAACAAATAAGGAAATAATCATCGTTAGGTTGGACACAATCAAAGATGTCTTCTTAAAATGTTTCTGCGAGATTAGTGAAAGGGCCCGAATCAACTCTCGAGGCTGACCACCAGCTGCGGGATTTTCTGTATGAGGCTTTTGAGCTCATTAGAATAAATCAGAAAATTGCTAGAGCACTTTATCAAGAACGTAAATTATTCCCAGAAGGAGTAGCCGCTCAAACTCACCAGAGACTTTTGACCTAGTAAGACTCAGGACAGTTTTCATTCCAACAGTGCTACTTCTTTTTTTTTTTAATCCTCACCCGAGGACATTTTTTTTTTTTTTTTTCATTTTATCTTCAGATAGAGCAGGAGGGAGAGAAGGGGGAAGAGAGAGAGAGAGACACACATCGACTGGTCGCCACCCACACGACCCCAACTGGGGCCGGGGACAAATTGCAACCGAGGTACGTGCCCTTAATGGGAACCAAACCCGGGTCTCTCTGGACCGCAGGCCGACGCTCTAACCGCTGAGCCAAACCAGCCAGGGCAAACAGTGCTACTTCTTGTGCGTTCGTCCACGGTGGTCACCTGGGGCAGTTCATCTAAATTAAGACCGTGGAATGAAGAGTAAGTGCCGGCCCTGGACACTGAGCAAGCCGTGCTCAGAGCCGGCCCCAGGAACCAGCCCTGCGCAGTGGGTAGAGCTGAGCAGTCGTGACGTTTTGGGGAAGGGAGCCCTTTGGGCTGATGACCTTTGAAGGCCAAGTCTGCTCTGTGGTTCCTGAGACAAGGCTCCCTCATCTCCTGACCAGCCTGCTAGTCACGGGACAAACACACAAACTCACACAGTAAAGCAAAACAGAGACGAACCAGGGAAGCAGGAGATGCTTCATTTTGTAGGTGACACGGTCACACTTGGAACCAGCCAGTACGGGGCCCGGGAGGGATGAGGGAGACTGCTTTCTGTCTGACCCAGGAGTGTTACCACGAGCATGCCTGTGACACCTGTGACCCCGAAACATCTGTACTGGGACCCGGGAGCAGGGGCTCGCTGTCCTGCATCCAAGTTTTCCCTTTTATGACGAGGACACTTTCTACCACTCCCCAGTCCTCACTGCCATCTGAGCCTGAGAGCTAAACAGGGCCCTGGCTGCTCTCTGTTCGTAAAACGGGCTCCTTACGGACAGTCCATTTCTCTCTAGCAAGCGGCACTCTTGGTTGGCTCCCGTGGGCTTTAGACTCCTGGTAAGTGAAACAAACCAGTCCCAGCTCCCCCATGTCACTAGGAAGAATCTGCTCCCCCCTTTTATGTCCTTTCAGACATCACGGGGTGCCCTGGGCGGAGCCCTCGGACAGTATATGGCCTTCACTGAAGGAGGTGGCTGCCAATTCTGACAATGCAAACCGGGGGCCGAGGGGCCGT